TGCATTCACAAGAGGCAATCATTGCAGCTCATCACTCATTTTTGTTATATTTTTATTCATTGTAAACATTTCATGCCTCCACACAATATTTAACAGCCACATGCCTTATTGATGTCTTTAAAGTGCATGCCTGGGAATTACTGGTGTAAAAAGAATAAAGCAGTGGTGTGATCTTTTATCATTGATTTCTTTGTTGTAGGGTAACCATGCTAGCTCCTCAATGAGTAGTAAGCAGCCCGCTTCCTTCTTTGAATCGTCCTACTACATCCATCAAAGATATGAAGACACAGCACTCGTAATCTTCCAACAGCAGCAGAGGAAAAAGAGGGACTCCACATTTGAAATGAAAAGACCTGTCCACCGGGACCATGAAGTGAACAAAAGTCATGTAGAATTAGGACATTACGGAAATCCCGGCATCATCGTGAAGGAAGACATTGTAAATGACATGAAAGTTCGCGTGGACAAGAGTCCGGTCCAGTCCACTGTGTGTGTTATAGTGTGATGTTACACTAGCTTAGGTGTCTGTGTTGCATGCGGTTGAATGTGTTTAGGATTTGTATGCATGTTAGATTTTTTTTTCATTTGTTACATAGAGCTTTTTGTGCGACATTATTTAACATTAGCTTTGTACTGTTCATATAATGGAGCTGCATCCTATATTAGAGAGGGACACTGTCCCCAACACTGGTCTGTGGTACGTGTTGTCGGCCCTGGGAGACAGCCCCTCTATCCGTGTGGGGCATACCTGCACTCATGTCCGTGGATCATCCGAGGGTGACAATGGGAAGCTATTTGTGATAGGAGGTGCGAATCCTAGTGGAGCATTCTGTGACACTTTTGTTCTCGATCTCAACACCATGATGTGGGATATTGTAGATTACCCAGGGTTCAGAGCTAGATACGAACATGCAGCTTTTGTTCCTCAATCAGAGCCAGAGAAAATATATGTGTTCGGAGGTGCTGATCCAACAGGAAATATGAATGATATTCAGGTACTCGATACTGCAACTAACTCATGGTCCACGCCTACCGTTACCGGGACTGCACCCACCCCACGTACTTATCATACCACTGCTGTTGTAGGAGACAAGTTCATCGTGTATAGTGGAGGCCATAGCGGGCCTGACCCTGTGGGGGATAGACAGGTGCACTGCTTTGATGTGAAAACGTCTGTGTGGTCCACCCTGCCTGTCAAAGGAGACTCCCCAAAACCCCGTCATGGTCATGTGATGGTTGCCATTGGAAACAGGTTATTTATTCATGGAGGAATGGCTGGGTCTGCATTTTATGATGATTTCCATCTAATGGACCTAGATAAAATGTCTTGGTCAAACATTCGTCGGAAGAAAGTGACTCCCTCTGCCCGCGCTGCTCACAGTGGTGTGGCAGTGGGGCAGGACATGTACATCTTTGGAGGGATGAACAGAGAGGGAGCCCTGGATGATCTTTATAAATGTGACACAAGTAAGTGGATAATTTGTATGTAAAATGCAGCTTTAGTCAACACATGCGAGCTGTCATAAGAAATTTCTCAAAATCTCAACCGCAGTTGTAAAATTCATTCTTTTTCTTAGATTCAGAAAATATGATTATGAAATTATTGTCATTTTGCATGAGGTTGAAGTTCTCATTATTTATCATTGCTATAGCTACAATGTTATGGACAAAGATAGAACTGCATGGTCCACCCCCAGCCTGTCGTTTGGACTTTGGTATGTGCCAGATTAAGTTATTCCGGAGTCTTGTGAGGGAACCAGAGGAACAAGATCTGGTGACTCAGGTTCAGCAGACTAAGGAGATTCTGGACCGAGAGCTGAAGCCAGGCAGCGCCAGTTCTCGTGACAGCCGGCAGGACACAGGATCAGGTGGGTCAACTATATTCATGACATGGCATCAGGTATCAATCTAGGTCATTCTGCATCAACTATATCCATGACACGGGATCAATCTTGGTCATTCTGGGTCAGCTATATCCATAAAACAGGATCAGGTATAAATGAAGGTCATTCTGGATCAACTATATCCATGACATGTGATCAAGTATTAATCTAGGTCATTTTGGGTCAACTATATTCATGAAACTGGATCAGGTATCAATCTAGGTCATTCTGGGTCAACCATATTCATAACACTGGATCAGGTATCAATCTTGATCATTCTGGGTTAAGTTTATCCATGACACAGGATCACGTATCAATCTTGGTCATTCATGGATCAACTATATTCATGTAATGGGATCAGGTCATTCCTGTGTCAACAATTTATATTCAAGGCCTGGGGTCAGGTATCAGTCAAGGTCATTCCCAGGTCAACATTTTATATTCAAGGTATTGGGAGAGGTTTCAATCTAAGTCATTCCTGGGTCAATATTTTATGTTCATCATTTCTTCCTCGGATTGCAAACTTCCTTTTATTTTGGGTCAATAATAAATTAATAATGTGCTGTTACATTTTGACATATCATTCCTTTGCTTCTAATTTGAGTTTGTCACAACAAATCAATTCATAATCAAACTTCCTGTTCAATAAAATTACAGATTTTGTTTAAAAAAAATTAAGAGAATATAGTAAATGAATTCTTTTTTACTTTTTTTCTGTCAATTTTTAGAGAGTTCTAGTGTGACGTATGAGATCCCCCAGCCTACGACGGACGATGAGGACGAGGAGACTCCGCGAGCAGAGGGCGCCACCGCCTCACTGAACTTCCCTCCCTCAGATGGCAAAGAAATGAATTTTGTGTTGGTTCATGGTGGAATGGATACAGAAGGAGAAATATTTGATGATGCTCTAGTTCTATTAACTGATCAACCGTCTTAGCTAAATGCAATTAACTTAAATTTCCTTAATGTTTCAATCATATCGCAGTAGCTGCCAAATTTTGTGATATCATTTTTTAAATTATCATACAGTGAACAAATGCCATGCAGATGTACTCACAAAATAGAACTTTTTTAAGAATTAAAATTATTCAAAAACAGATCTCAAATTCAGATTACAGTTTTGAAGAGGAAGTGCTACCAGCTGAAAAGGAGAGATAATGAACTTGACACTTTAAATAGGATGTGAAAAGGTTAATCCTGGAAATTGATGTAAATCATCTTCAACCTAGAATTCCCTTTTACACCCTGACAATTTTATTCACTTCTACACAAGAGGCCACAATGTGACATTTTTAGTGTCTGTGTGACATACTTGGGGGCAATGAGACTTATTAAATGTCATTGTGACATACTTAGGGACAATGTGACATACTCAGGGTCAGTGCGACATAACTTAGAGTCAACATATCCAAAGGCTCCAGAGAGATATCAGAAGAAAGTATCTAAGCTCAAAAGATATGACAATAAGTTAAAAATGTGGGTCACAGTGACCTACTGTTTGGGAAGACACATCCTAGTGTTCATCAACTGTTGAAGATTGGGGACCAACAATTCTAAGTGTTAGAAATATGAAGGTAGAAAGTTTTCAAAATGTTATGTCACTATAAAATAAGGAAATTGATAACTTAAATCACTTTGTCTTAGTGAAATCACTGTGCTCAGGCCTGGAGGTTATAAATCTTTTTGAGTAATGTACGCTGTGCTCAAACTTGCACTCCATCTCCAAAACAATAGTCATGCTAAAAAATTCTATAAGTTGTAAATACATGTATTATGTAAATAACATGTTTATGGTATCGGAGAATAGAGCACTCAAGACTTTTATAACATCTAGGCCAGGTGAGCAAATTGAGCAATGGGCCTAATGTTTAACACATCTACCCTTTTTTTTTCTTCCACTTTATGTTAAGTTTGGTTGAAATTGGCTCAGAGAGTCTAAAAGAGAAGTTGAAATATGAGAAGTTAACAGACAGATGAAGGATCACAGGTGATCACAATGAATCCTCAGTTGTAGATTCAGACGAGCTAAATACAAGTCGTTTCAGTTCACCTGCACTTAAAGCTCATCAGCTTTTCTGTTCACCTGTTGTCTGGCATCCAGCAACCTGTCTGTCTGTAAACTTCTCACATGCTTGGCTTATTAACAAGAACTGGGCCAATTTTGACCAAAGTTAGCATACATAGAAGACAGTGACCTTTTGCTGCTGTTGGTGTGATACAGGTTATGTTATGGAAAGGGGTATGTACTCAGTATTATTCTCTATTTATTTTATACCTCTGTGGATCCTTTAGTGTTGTATAATATTCAGGTGAGCATTGGACCTCTTGTTCTCATAGGTGCCAAAGAGAAGAGCTTCTAATAATATTTTCAAGGAATTAATACATTTAATATCATGAAATCATCAATGGAGCTCTACTCTTCCAGAACCCAGATATGAATAATAAATTTCACAAATCTGGAAGCTCTCATGAAAACCTAGCAGTTTGTTTACATAATGATTAAGTGCAGAGATTTTCAAAGAATTTATGCATTTCTAACTAATGCATAAAGCCACCCACCCACCCACAACACCAGAAGATCTGACCTAAGTGTCATAATAATCACAATTTTAGAAAAGGTTTCATTGCTCATCATAAACATACACACAGTGGGTGGTTTGATCGCTAAATCTGAAAAGAAGATGTCAAAGAATGCATTTTCACCATTTAAATAATCAATAGAGCCATACCCTAACACCATAAATCAAGGGCTGTAAATTTCCCAATTTGGAAGAAGCACCCTTGTTCCTCATACATGTCATATACTTGCACTTATTTAAAGTGTCTTCTCAACACCGGGAGCAGAGGAGATTTTACAAAGAATTCATGCAATTTCAATGTTCAAGACCTCACCCTAATACCAGAACCCCAAGACCCAGGGGCCATCAATTTCAAAATTTTGAAAGAAACATCCTTGCTCATGAAGACATTGTGTCCTAAAGTGTCCAAGTGTCCTAAAAACGCAGATTCCAAATGTAAAGGTTCCAGTAATATTGAAATTCTCCCTGTACTATATTAATTTTTGGCACCACTGTAAATGTTCAAACAATGTCAAATAATTATAAATATTATTTAATTTTATAAATTTCCAGACACACATTTTATACCATTTTCTGTAATTTTAAATTTGATGACAGATACATTATTTTTAGAAGTTTCAATCTGACACTTGAAAGTATTTGCAGGCTGTTTTTCTAAAATAAACCTCTGTGTTACAAGCTGTCCCCATGGTTTACACAGAAATTCTTGATGGTCCATTTTATCTGGAACACTGGAAGAAGTTTCAGAATATGGGTCATCTTTTGGGATCTTCTTCTTGAAATATTCACACTTTGTGGCTATCACAACTACACTGAAATCCTTCACAAATTTAGACAACACTTCTGTGACGAGTCTCACATTCCTCTCCTGGGCAGATAGACTTTCTCCACAATTACATTTGTCAATCCAATAAAACGCAGAGATGCTGTCAATCATTATTACAGCTAGATTAGGGTTGCTAAGAATTGTTTGTTCTAGACTATATAGTGTCACAAGTAAGTCAGCACTACTGGAACATCGTATTAATGACAGCTTAGATAAACTCTTTTGAATAAGCATCTCAACATCAGAAGTTGTCTGTTCATGTTGACCAACATTTTTCAGAATCATATTTATCCTACTTTCCATCAGTGTTACAAGTCTAAGAATGCAAAATTTATAATCATTGTCGATGAAAATGACAGTTGCATCCTTTCCATTCAGTGGAATGGATTTCCAAGATTTAGGTAGGATTGTGTGGGCCACAATATTGAGCAGGATTTCTGTTTTGCCTGTTCCTTCCGGTCCATAAAGCTCAATGACATCTTTTGGATTGGGTCCTTCTTTAAATACGGCTGGCAAGACATCAGATATAGAGGGACGGCTCCCAAGTCGTGCTAAAAGCTGGAACAAGAAAATGTCAATTTTAGGCAAACACATTGATTTCTGTAACAGGCAAAAGGGATTTAACCAAGGGGGTCTAGAAATGGTTTGATGGTGTATTGCAGAACAGGCTTGAGATAAATTTATAAATGTATAATTTCCAAGTACATCCTAGGTCTTATCTTGCTTATAGTGAATGATTATCATACAGTTTACACTATAAGAGGACAACCATTTGATTCTGCGTGGATGGGGGGGGACCACGGATTAATTTAAGCTTTGGGGGAAACTACCCTTTCTGGAGAAATTGGGAAAATGTCGTTTGCAGGACAGGCCCTGCTTGGGGGCCAATTGAATTTAAGCATTTTTATGACCATTTAAAGCACATAAAGTAGCAAATTTAAAACCATATTTCTCATTTACTGAAAACGTTTACTTTAAATTCTAAATCTTTATGCAGAAAAAAAATATTTGATGCTTATATTATTGAAAGGGGAATAGTTTACACATCAAAAGGGGAAAATTAGATCTTCAGGGGAAATTTTCGCAAGAAAAACACCAGTAATCGGTAGTAAATATGCCCACGATTAATCCATGGGAACTGGCAGATTTTGGACATTATTTTTGGAAATAATCTGGACAGGAAATAAATATTCTGTCCATGACCAGTGCTATACCTCCCCCAACCTGAATTAAAATTTTGGACTTTTGAGGGTTTTTTTCATTTCTTTGCTTGTCACCCTTTTTTCAGTACAGAAGAAAATAAAAAATCTGCCCTAGATCTTATTGAAAATAAATGATCTGTCCTTCACCAAAATGAATATAAATAATCTGACTTGAAAAAATTGGACAACCCCCCTCCCCGAATCAAATGGTCGTCCACTAATAATACAAATCGAAAAATGCACAAAAACTACGCTGTTTTTTCTACAGATGTACCAGTATCTTTTATGTCTCTCTGCATGCAGGCCCTTGATTGGAAATAAACTATTGCCTATTGGACTATTTTGGATGCAGATCAGTTTGAAACAGGCAGACTACAGAAAGAAGGTAGAGGTTTAGAATGGTTTTTCTCATGGATATAAGCCTTGGTAGCACAGTCGGTAAAGCACCTGACTAGTGATGCAGGGGTTCAAGGTTCGATTCCCTTTCCAAACATATATTTTCTCCTTTCCTGTTATAGATTTGGTGCTGTTGACCACCCCTGGACTTGCAGGTGAGGTTCCTGCCAGGGACAGAAGCTTATAAGAACTTTGGTTGTGTCTTCCTTTCTGAGATTATTAGGCTACATGAAAAGATTTAGGAGCAAGAGGAGTGGGTCAGTGGTATATTTCCAGGCAACTTTTCTAAATCTCACGACCAAAAGGTTTTACTCAAATTATTGCTCACATACAAATTATCATATTAAAATAAGTCCCCTATTATAGATAGGCCCCTAGAGGTTGGTGTAGCAGGAATGGATTTTGTTATATACATTTAATGATTTATGCCTTGTATTTCAGTAATAATATGGGTTGATATTAATGTTTTCATACATGTATGTGTATACTGCCTTATCCCTAATACATTTGTTTATATTTAGCATGTTTACAAACCTTCTCAGGGAAAAGCACATGTTGCTTCCATCAAATCTTTTGGGCTAATGTTTATCTAAATTTTGATTGGCTATTAATCCAAGTTAACCTTTTGGGTGTTACTACATGTAATATCAGTCAAAGTTCATACCCTTTGGGTGCATCCACTAAGATTCTAAGTTGAATTTTCTACTGTTTCCAAAAAGTATAAAAACCTGTGTAACTGCTAGTTTAGTGGGGAATCTTGAAAAGCATTGATTTGCTGTAAGTTCTCTCACTTTTATAGAGGTTTATTAGGTATTTATCAGGTTGCACCCTTAGAAATTATGTTAAGATATTATTAAGTATTTGTACAAAAATTGTCGTCTATAGCTCCTGTTAAATTTATTAGGCCATAAAACTAAAAGCTAGGAGTTAGGTTTTCCATAAATAATGTAAATAAGGGGTTTTCTAAATTACCCCAGGCCTTTTCCCCCGGCTAGGTTGGGCTAGCGTTTCCGTATGCTAGGTTGGGGGGTGATTTTTGCTGGATTTTCAAAACAGGATTTTTTTTCATAAGGCAGAAATTTACAGTTGTTATTTTTTTTTTGATACCATTTTTTTTTGTTTGTCTATAAAAAGGTTAAATAAATTTTGTTGTTTTATATTGAAACTGGTGTTTTCATTACAATTAACAATCACATGTAAACTCCTCGAACATATCATGGTCAGTAACATCATGGACCACCTAGATACTCACAAGATCTTGCATGACGCTCAACACGGATTCAGGAAACGCCGCTCCTGTGAAAGCCAACTTATATCGACAGTACAGGATCTGGCTAAAAACATAGACAACAAGGGACAGACAGATGTTTACTCAATTTTTCTTTTTTCGACAAGGTCCCCCACCAACGCCTCCTGTATAAGTTGAGCTATTACGGGATTCTGCCATCTGCAATGGATAGAGGACTTCCTAAATGGACGCATCCAACAGGTTCTATTAATTTTTTTAACATCAGGTACAGCTGCTGTATAATCTGGAGTACCACAGGGGAGTGTCCTTGGACCACTTCTCTTCCTTCTTTTCATTAATGACCTACCAGACCATGTATCAAAAATTTAAACGGTCCACCTATTTGCAGATGACTGCGCATTATATAGAGACATCAAATATGAGGATGATGTTACACACACAGCTCCAGAAAGATCTAGATGGACTTCAGAAATGGGAGAAAGAATGGATGATGGAATTTCATCCTGGAAAATGTCAGGTCTTACATGTTACCAACAAAAGGAAGGTGGTAAACGTACCATATGTCATTCACGGTCATGTCCTCGAGGTAGTTGAAACAGCTAAATACCTGGGAATCCACCTTCATCAAGGCCTGAAGTGGAATCACCACATTGACACCATTGCAAAGAAGGCAAATTCCACCGTCGCCTTCCTGAGACGCAACTTACACCAGTGTCCATCAGAAACAAAGGCCCTATGTTATCAGACCTTAGTGAGGCCCATCTTGGAATATGGGAGTACCATCTGGGATCCCTACACCAGTGACAGTATTGGCAAACTGGAGATGGTCCAAAGACGAGCTGCCCGCATGGTAACATCCAACTACAGAACAACTAGTAGCGTAACGGACATGCTAAAACAACTGAGATGGACATCTCTTCAGGAACGACGTGGTCAAGCTAAAGCTGTTATGATGTACCGCATAGTGTACCAGCTTATCGACATCCCACCACTCCTCCTGTATCCAGCCACTACAACCAGGGGAAACAGCATGATGTTCCTGATTCCTTACGCCAGAACCTTAGTATACCAAAAATCATTCTTTCCCGATGGTATTCGTGTGTGGAACTCTCTTCCAGCTTCCCTGGTTACTTCCACCTCCCTAGATAGCTTCAAATCGAAGCTATCTAGCCACACCACCAGACCGTAAATACAACCAATCTATTTTTAACTGCACTGTAAATATATTCATTTTAAATTCACCTTGTTTTCCTTAGTGCACCACCACGCGCCAGTACGAAAATATCAGTATCTCTGATTAGTACTATATTGGAAGAAGAAGAAGAGGTGTTGAAATAAGGTACAAACAGGCTCGGAAATAAGACCAAGCAGAATCTCAAATCAAATAAGAACCTGGGAATCAGTATCTCTGATTAGTACTATATTGGAAGAAGAAGAAGAGGTGTTGAAATAAGGTACAAACAGGCTCGGAAATAAGACCAAGCAGAATCTCAAATCAAATAAGAACCTGGGAAATAATTTAATATGAAAATATAGGAGAGTGTTGAAAATATTCTAGAACCACTAATGACAATGGTGTTCTGTAGACATACTCCTATTACATTGGTATATTTTGACTCTATAAGGAGTGATCGCATTAACTAACAAAAAACGAAATAAATTCAAATAGTTCAGATATATATGTTACCAATTCTATAGTAATACCTCGAGGCCTGTCTCGCTTTGCATCTGTAATCTTTATTACATATTGCTGCTGCTTTCAAAATTCCCTCTATTTGGGGTTGTCCTTTTTTAGCAGAACTTTCATAAAATCATTCGTGAATTAAAATAAATAGTTTGGATGTTAAAATTAATTATTCAAATGAATATATCCTCCGTCCAAAAATATACTTAGATCTTCATTACCATCTTTTTTTTAAATTTTATTCTTAAAGAAATAAAGGAACTCCAAATGGAATAAGTTCATGTACAAGTTGACCTGCGACAAATTATTGCGCATGCGTTGAAATGCAGAACATAAACACTGCGAAAAAACTGTGATTGAGAAGAAAATGTGATCATTTGGAAGCTAATGTAGATATGCATAAATTATCTGCTTAAGAATCATTCGAAAGGTGGGTCTGTGAGGTTTTTTGGTAGCAATTGCTATCTTTGCAATGAAATTCTTGCATTTATGTACATTACTCAGCTGTCCTTTGGCCTTGCACATTGCAGAACTTGAAAGGCATGGCAAACCGGACTGCTCTGCATCAGCGCAGACGAAAGCGACCCCAGCCGCCTGTATACAGTGGTATATCTGGATCATATGAAGACAAAGACAGTGATTTTATTTGGTTTGTTTAATGCTCTTCACATGTTTCACATCACTGTCTGGTAGATCTACTTGCAATGTAAATATCTTAGAAGGCAACTCACTGGGCTAAACATACAGGATTAACTACCAGGGATGGGCAGTGCACTATGCAATTTATTATGCAGCTGGTTTTTTATTATGCTATACAATATAACAGACAGATACAAGTGTCCCATATACTTTCAAGGAAAGGATTTGTAAACTAATAATTTTGGTCTAATCTCGGAGAGTTGTCAGACCAAAACTTTTAGTCTCTACAAATCTTGCTAAGATTAACTTAAACTAGAACAGGCTATTTTACTTGTAAATGAATTTGGTGCACAAATTACAGGTCCAAGGCACTCTTTTCTGTAATAAAATTTTCAATCCTTAACAAGTGCTTATGTTACATGTCTACTATGTCAGCATTTGACAGTTCCTTAAAATCTTTATTGTGATTATTTTCATGCTAGTTTAGTTCAGAGTTTATTGGTTGTATCAGTGTTTTCCCTAAAAAGCGGCTACAGGCCAAATTGACCGCTTCAATTGACAAAAATGCCTCTTTGAAATAAAAAATTGTTGTAAGGTCCACAGAGATTCTGTTCATAAACCTCATGCCCTAGCCAGTTACAACTGATCTATATCTCTTTACTTTGAAATAAAGGGAAAACACTGTTGTATTATTTATATATGCAGTAGTTTCATGAATGATTTGTATTGTTTATTCATCTTCACTGGCTCAGCCCTCTCCATATGTCAGGATCTGTATTTTTTTTGTATGTAGATTTATTATGCTTTTCAATGACGAATGAACAACTGCTATTGTAAACTGAGTACCTATCACTTAAGTCCAAGAAAACAAATCCAGCTAATTCTAATATCACTATTCTGTTTACTCAAAATATGAAATATACCTTTTCTGGGTAACTAAGAACAGGCAATAAGTCATTTTATTTTTTTTTCAGTCCAATTTGTTTTAACTTGATAGAAGAAGCACACATGACAAAATGTGGCCACTCTTACTGGTAAGTAGACCAATGTGAAATAACATGTAGTTTCTGTTTTTACTCTCTTCTGTTTATTAATAAATGTAGCTGTATAATGTAAAGTATATGTTCTTTTTCTACCCTTTTTTTTAATTTGCTCTAGTCACAAGTGCATCAAAGAAAGTCTTCAGCAAAGCAACAGATGTCCTAAGTGTACTTATGTTATAGAGGGCATTGACCAGGTCTTTCCAAATTTTATGTGTAAGTGTTGTCCTCTATTTTTGAATGGGGCTAATTTGTATATGGTGTTTTTGAATTTTCTTTATCTAAAAAGAATTTAAAGATCTCTGGATAAACATGCATTGTATACATTGTATATACATGCATATGTCAAAATACTGAAGAATATACTGTATGTATACGTAATAAACTTAAAACAGCAGGCTTATTTGACACAGATAACAATGCGCTTACAGGGTCGACACTAACATTTTTAGGCTTTGGTCCGGCCGGACCAGTGCTTCTTCACTTTTACTAGTCCGCGGGCAATTTTATTAGTCCATCAAAAATAAAAAATAAATAAATAGAATTAATGTTGCAATGTACTTTTTTGAAATAAACAAAGCATTTACATGAAATGTTTATACCAAGAATTCGTTGAAATCGCACAATCAGGAACTACGATCGTATTCCCGATCTCATTCTCATGATTACATCATCTAACATCCGACATCTTTCTTTAATTTATGTGTCATACTAAATCATGATCACTAAAATGTTTAATTTCATACCAATGAGTCCTAAAATTAAGATGGTGTTTTACCTAATTTTTAAGAAGCTAGAAAGCTAAAAATAAATATGGGGTTTTCCAGTGAAAAACATCGGTAAATTCTTTTTTCTCCCAAGAAAACTTTATTAGTCCCTTCGGACTAATTAGCTACAATTTTTATTAGTCCGAATGAAAATGTATTAGTCTGAGACAAATGGACTAACATTAATGTCGAACCCTGGCTTATTCTTGAATACTTAACTCTGTTAAAAATCGTTAAAAATCATTTACCGGTGTAAATACTATGATGTGGTAGTGCTATTGCATGGACACATGTCCATACCGTGTATCATAATGATAGATGTTTTGTCAGTGGTACTCATGAATTTGGACATCTTTGTCCATGCCTAAGTTGCTAAAATATGAAGTCTGCTTTTTTAAGTATACGTGATATATGCTAGTATGAAGAATGATGCTGTTCAATGTTCGTTGAAATAATGTGACAATTTGTCAGAGATTCCTTGTTTTTTTCCCCAACTATAGATAATCTGTATAAGTTAAAGTTAAATTAAAAATTTCAAAAGTTGTTTTATTTGACTTGATTATATTTACAGTAAATGAGTTGGTATTAAAATATCGAGGAAAACAAGAACAAAAGAAGATCAAACTTGAACAAAAGGTTGGTATTTAAAGCAGTCAGTATATTGAAAATCAGTTTAATTTATCCTACTTTTACTATAACAATCAGATTAAGTGATGCTACTTTTACTATAACAATCATATTCAGTAATCCTACTTTTACTATAACAATCAGATTAAGTGATGCTACTTTTACTATAACAATCAAATTCACTAATCCTACTTTTACTATAACAATCTTTTCTTCCCTCCTACAGACGTCCCCCTCCACAGGCTCGGTGGATTTGTTTGATATGCTGACAGAGGAAAACATTGATCTGTGTGATGTAAACAAACTGTTGGAAGTACTTAACATGAAAAAGCAAAAGCTGGAGGGGGTATACATACTTATATCATACATACTTAAACTATATTTTGTGTAAAATTTGTTCATGTTTTGGGGATATTTTTCTCCCCATAAATTTGGTTGTAGACACATACGTGGGTCATTCAAAAAGATCGTAGACTTTTGTCCTAACATTTTTATTTAATATCATTTTATATCCGAATTGGGTACACATATTTTAACAACAAATTCAAATAATTTGTGTAAAAAAATGGAATATATATTCATATCTTTAAAAATTATTAAAGATTTCAAACAGTAAAAACTGGGTCAGGGAGCAATTTCAAAATTGAATAATTTACTAATTTTCACTTTACAGAATCTATAGCCATACCTCTAATAAATGGAGCTGAAAAATAATAAAATTTACATGTTCTAAATTAAGTCTTGCTGTATTACTTAAGATGCTATCAGGTAATGTAATACATGTATATTGCTCCGTTTAAAAGATATCAGTTTCTTAATACATATGGACTTGATTAAAAGAGGCAAAAAACCATGATGTTTTAGCGATAGCAATAACATTTTGCTTTGCATTCGGGAAACTTCTTTAACAAACTTAAAAAATTCTGTATAAACCAGGAAATATATGAAAATAAGCCATGTATTTGTATAAATTGGAAAATACAATTTTTGAGTGGTAGCGAGTTTGAATCCGATGATGGATGGTCCGCAAAGAAACAGGTTATACACTGTAGTTAAAAATCTTGTCAAAAGAGTTAGGAACGTCATTAAACATGATGTGTGCTTCACTGTTATTGAACTAATATAGTTACGCGGTAAACAATTTGAAAACACTGCATGACAATCTAGTTCAAGCTATTTGCACAATTGTAAGCAAACTAGGTATCAACTGTTATGGATACGTTTTTTTGATTGGAGAAGACGCTTCAAAAAAATTAAAAAGCTGAGTAATTTTGAGAAACTTTCTCAATGTTGTATTTGATGTTACAATGTTGGTTAACCATGTTCTGTGGTAACAAAACATGTTGCTTTAAAAATTGTCTTCTGTTTTATCACCCAGGATGTAAAGTTTGCACAGAAATACGTACTTAAAGAGTTTCTGCAAGAAATTAGAAAAAAGAAACAAGGGGTAAGTAATAATTACACCTGGGTGTTTTCCCATTGAATGGTACTAGATAATAAAAAAGAGAGGGTTTTTTTTTAGTTAAATATTACATTCTTGGCTAAATAAGTTGCTTAATTCTGGTAATAATTTATTAATTTTAATCAAAACCAGATCCAATGTTTAGCAGCATTCGATGTCAATTTTCTGTATTTCTTTTGTAGAAACTAGAGCAATTAAAACGAGAAATATCCCTCATTGATGATGATACTGAAAAAGTTGATGTAAGTAGAAATTAAATCTTTCTCTGTTTTATATATTTGTAATAAGTAACCAATTTACCTAAAGCTGCAATAAGAATTTTTGTAACATATCATCTTTTACAGGGAATGCTTTCTGAACACAGAAGGAAATACCCATACATTCCAGTGAGTGTTTAAATGTTTTTTTTTTTAATCAGATATAAAGGTGTCATTTATTCTAGAAGTTTGCTGTTGTGTTAAGTACATTCTGTTATCTAGAAGACAACTAAGTTATAAATTTTATGAGATCTAAGAAAAGTATTTTGCACTGTCTGACAATATTGTACAGTTTTGCTTCCACTGTATAGGTTTTTTTTTTTCAGTTGCCTAAAGGTAGATATGAATAACGGAGATCCTTTAGTTTTTGTATCACTGAAATGGTAAATTTATAATAGCATACATGTTAACTCTACCGATTTAGGCAGGAGTCTACCGCTTTTTCACTTCATCTCCAGCCTACCAATTTTATTTGTAAATCTACCGCTTTTCTACAAAAGATTTGTCAAAAGTATTTTTGGTTTGCTTGGGTATCCATTTTGAAACCTGTCGTCATAAAATCTCGTTAGATATCACATGATTAGACCCCGAAGCACACAATCAGACAACGACAACACCACTAAACTCAGTGATTACATTAGTTACAAAAAATTTCATCCACTTCACTGTCAAGAAAAAGGATATATAGCATTCTAGAATGGGATGAAAATGTTTGACAGTCTATAAAAGGACAGGTGCTCACAATTTTATCAATAGAGTCAGTAGAAATCATTTGATTGACAAAGCCATGAGCTATATTGCATCTCTACTTTCGTTTTGATAATAGCGGGAAATCCAGTTTATTTAACGAAAGATAAGAATTAGTTTTAGATGTGGATTAAGCAGTGTCATCATCTGCTGTGTTTGACAGCTAAATGAACATTCAGAATTATTGCTTCAAGGCTATATCAACAAAGATGACACTTCTAAAGGCTGTTATGCAGTCAATCAAAGCAAAATGATGAGCATGAAAAATATTTATATTTTATAATTTATGGCAAACTTAAAGTGTTTCAATCTACTTCATTGAAGTTAATATTTGAGATTAATTATTCCAGTGGTCATTTAAGGCCCTACTTACATAATTTTAATTGTAAATCCATGTGTAAAACAATGCGCGCATAGGTACCGCTTTTGAGGTCTGAATCTCCCTATTTTTCATCACAGTAGGTTAACATGTATGATAATAGTTATGCAGATTATATTGCTTTAAGCTATTTGTTTCATTGAAGGATCATTTGGTGCCAAATGGATTTGAACCGACCATGAGTACCAGCACTGATTCCGGAAGTCAGGATGGGTTCAATGGCAGCAAAAATGTAAGTTGGTGTAGTATCAACATTTATCCTAGTATCTGAGGTATATTAATTCAGAAAAGCCAAAATAGGTGTGAGCGCATTTTGATTTTGGTTCATCTAATATCTGTATTTAAATATTACTAAATGTAATCAAACAATAGGGATCAAAGGTATATTATATTACACTGAAGTACATTCACAAATTTTATTGAGGTATATAATTTTGAGGAGCATAGGTTCTATGTGTAGGAGTGGGGAAAAGGGTTACAAGGTGTTTTCATAACAAAGAAAAAGTTTTCAGGAGATTATTAAATTTAATACATCTTGTTTTAGGCTGGAAAACCCTGGTTACAAACAACAATGGCATCAAGAAGGAAAAGAGTCAGTCAGCACTTTGAGGATCTGGAGCAATGCTACTTCTCCATAAGACAGAGGGATGAGTATAGTAAGTGTATACAGATAATCTTGAATAACTCTGAATAACATTCATAAGACAGAAAATGAATACAGGAAGTGTGTAAAGATATTCTTGGTAAGTTTTCCATTAAGCAGAGAGATTATATATAGAGCTTTTCTGTGTAACATTTTTTAACTGATCAAAAGTATACGTGTAGCAAGTTAAATAATCCGTAAAACATGAAATTGATAGTTAGGTCTTGATAAAGCCTATGTAGTTTAGATAATATGTTGGATATTCAGGATATTTGAGGTAGTCTAGTTTATTTATCATCAAAAATATCAAACAAATTGTGTTAGTTTTTAAATAAATTCTAGAATGCACAAAATGGGGTAAAAAAAATTTAAAGATAATCTGGTGAGGTGAAAGCATTATATTTGGAAACATAAATTTTGTATGTAAATTTCTATGGAAGCTGTATATTTTGCATTTATAAATGAAGTAAAACTCTTTAACCAACATAAAATTATTACAAATGTTAAGGCATAAGGAAATTGCCATTTTAAAACTGCAAAACAAAGGATGGATTTACAGAGTGATGCCCCTTTTTTTCTAATAGCCCTGTAATTGACTAGCATTTTGAAACCTGAATCTTTAATGAAACCCCATTTCTTCCTTACTTTACTACTGTCTATTGCTGTAGCTTCTATTATTTCTACTAAGATATACTAAATTTACTGTTTTTACTTAAACAATAATTTATGATAAAAGTAAAAGAGAAATGGTTGCAGAATGGCTTCTTGTCATAAAGTACAGTCATATTTAATGTGCCTGTAGTTAGCACCTGTTACAGAAGTTTTTGTCTTTTAACAGATGGAGAGGAGGGACTGGATGAGTTCACAGAATGTCTTTCAAAATTCACCAAATTTAACTCATTTAGATCACTAGCAACATTAAGTTATGCCAGTGATATATACAGTGGTTCCAGTATAGTGTCCAGGTTAGTACATGTTATACAACATGTATATAATTAAATGTTCCAAGTGATGAGTCCGATTTATCTTGGTACAACTTATGTTAACTTCAAAAGATTAAACTAAAATAATTTGATTCTCTTTACTTTTATAGCATAGAATTTGACAGGGATTGTGACTTCTTTGCCATAGCAGGGGTAACCAAGAAAATCAAGGTAAGTGTAAATACATGTATTTTTACATGTACAGGAGTGTCATATATTGTAGATCCCTAAAAATATGCAAGGAAATATTTACCACATTATTTCACAAGAAGCCCTTTTTCTTTAATATAAATTGCTTTTAATTTTATGTATCTATAGTACTGGTACCTTACATTACACGTAGAAACTCTAGATCAATAGTCAAATTATGAATTCGTATTCTTGCCATATGACAACTTTGAGTCATTTTGCAATATTAAGTACTCATGTAAAATAAGGAATGTACAGTAGCAATTTCTTATTGATTTCCCCAACTATACTGCTACATGTGTATTTAATTTTGATACTGTGTTGTACAGGTATTTGAGTATGGGACTGTGATCAAAGATGCAGTTGATATACACTACCCAGTTAATGAAATGATCTGTAATTCTAAAATAAGGTAAGGCAAGGTTTTAAGCTTCTTTAAACCAACTATCATTCATGTCATCTTTTATTCGTGATTCCTCATTTTGAGATCCATTTGCAATGATTAATTTTCCCAACAAAGGAAATTTTCTGTACAAACAAGAAGCAAAATTAGCTTTTTGTGATGTTTTATATTCATGAGTTAAAGCAGGTCTTTAAAGTTGTCTTTAAACTTCCAGGTAGATAAATCATTATCAGTTTAAAATTGATAAATTTTATCGTGGACCAGTGATATAGCTGTTATATATGTCTGTATGTCTGTTTGTAGCTGTGTAACGTGGAGCAGTTATCACAAAAATGTCCTGGCCAGCTCAGATTATGAAGGAACAATTACACTATGGGATGCCTTCACCGGACAAAAATCCAAACTCTTTCAGGTAAATGGAAATATAATCAGTTCACCATATTTGAAGATGTGACATTGAAATTTTTTGTCCTTTTGTTTACTCACAGTAATCTTTTTGTTTTATGTATTTTCTAAGGAACATGAAAAGAGATGTTGGAGTGTAGATTTTAACACAATGGATCCTAAGCTACTGGCCTCAGGTTCAGATGATGCTAAAGGTAGAGTATATAAGAATGTATTTATTCCCTTTTGATAAATAATACATAAAATGTATAAGGTAAAACATCACTAGGTTTATTTACATGTATATTGATATATTGTAGTGAAGCTGTGGTCAACTAATGTAGAAAACTCTATTGCCTGTCTGGAGGCTAAAGCTAATGTGTGTTGTGTCAAGTTTAACCCAGAGAGCAGATATCACCTTGCATTTGGTTCTGCTGGTAAGATTAAGATTACATCAAATTTATTGTTTATCAAATACATGTACATTAAATCTTGTGTTCTGTGAATTGTCTTTATGTTACAAGAACAAAAGACGATTAGAGAGTCTTTTCTGATCAAATTCTGTTATCATCAGTCTGTCTATCTTCAATTGATTTATTTTCAAAATTTTTAACATCTCCTTAATTCCCAGAGATCCAAATATCAAATATTAGGAATTCTTAGCCACTGGATATTTTTTCTGCTCATCGTTTAGTTATTTTCTGTATTTTAGATCATTTTGTTCACTACTATGATCTGAGGAATACAAAAGAGGCTGTGATGGTATTTAAAGGTCACAGAAAAGCGGTGTCGTATACAAAATTCCTCAATACCACAGAAATTGTATCAGCGTAAGTACAAATAGGTACATATATATGTAATAACAGAGGAATATTTAACAAATTCTCATTCTGACTTAAAGCTATGTAAATGTGCAGTATTTCAGCATGTTCATGTACATCTGAATATGTTATTTCTCCAAAGTTACTTCCCTTTGATTGTTGATATGATGTGGGCATTTGTTTTTTCAATTTACAGATCTACAGACAGTCAGCTTAAACTGTGGAACATAAATAAACCAAATTGTCTGAGAACATTCAAAGGACATATCAATGAGAAGAACTTTGTTGGTTTAGCTACAGATGGGGATTATATAGCCTGTGGTAGGTCTCAGTCAGTTCTCTGTATTTTGTTATTTTGATTATTTTACATGTATAGAGATGTACGAGTGTATTACTTAATTTTAATGATGTCATTGACTTTTTTGTTTAGGAAGTGAAAACAATTCTTTGTATGTGTACTACAAAGGGCTTTCAAAACAATTGATGACATTTAAATTTGATACAGTCCGAAGTGTGCTGGTGAGTAAATGTATATAAAAACAATTCAAAATGAAGATGCATTTTGTTCTGATAAATCTTTACAAATATAATACTGCATATTAAAACTAAAACAAACAGCTCTGTGGACTAGACCTTTGTTAGTTTGAAATACTGTAAACACAATTTCTTAATATATTTTAGCTCACCCGAGACAAACTCAAGTGATCTTTTCTGATCAAAATTGTCTACCCAGCTGTCAGTCTGAACGTTAACTTCTCACATTTCATCTCCTCTTCCCAAACCAATGGACCAAATTCAACCAAACTTTGCAAAAAGCATCTCTGGATAAAGGGAAATAAATATTGTTAAAATGATTAACCACAACTTTTAAAGAGAGATAATCAATAAAATAGATTGGATACATATCTTCTCAAGAACCACTGGGGCCTGGGCCACAAAAGAAAAAATCTAAGTTTTCACATCCTGACAAAATATTATTTCACTTTTGTAAATTATGCCCCCTTGGTGGAACAAGAAAAGAGATTAAAGTTTTTACCCTGATTAGTGGTAATGATATACAAACGTCCTCATTAAGTGAAGATTTAATTTTGTTGAAAACAAGGTTTTGGGTATGGGTACATCTAAGTCCACTTTTCTGCAAAAGAGCAAGGTCAAGGTAAAAGTAGCATTGTGGCCCATGGGCATCTTGTCTTACAAAGAATCATCTAGGGAAATGTTTTCTTAGAATTCTGGTGGACTGGCCCGTTTTCTGGCTTTGATGTCATTTTCTTAGATTAATATATTAATTTTTTATTAGATTTAATATTGAAGTGAAAATTAAACTTAAAATTGCTGTATTTGTAGCAGGAGAAAGACAAGAAGGAGGATGAAGTGAATGAGTTTGTGAGTGCTGTAGCCTGGAGACCTGTAAGTACACAAGTACTGGCAATCTTAGAGAGGGAAGGCTGTGGAGGGGGGGGAGAGGGAGGGAGAGAATGAGTTTGTGAGTGCTGTAGCCTGGAGACCTGTAAGTACACAAGTACCGGCAGACTTAGGGGGGGGGGGGCAAAAAGAGGATGAGGGGAAAAACCTGTAACTAGACAAACACTAGTGGGTTAAGGAGGGGGGGGGGGCTGGAGAGGGATCTCTCTTGATGTATTTATTTTAGAGTGATATTCATCAAATATACTTTACCTTAAGTTTATAATATTTATCATTCTCTATCTTACAGAGTTTTTTTTTGTTTTTTTCAGGGATCTAATGTGATAGTAGCGGCAAATAGTCAAGGAACAGTCAAGGTTTGTGTTTTCTCTCATATAATCAAAAAATATGGAAGCAAACGTACTTATGCAAGATAAAAAGCTGACAGTTATTGTTGTTTTGTAGGTGCTGGAGTTGATATAGATGAGATGTGTCAAGATGTGTGGTTTGTTTTTCTCAGATGAATGCTTCGGACTGTCAAAATGGCATCAACTTTGTGATAAACAGCAATACTGGCAATGCAAACATTCATTTTCATAAATATGATGTTATCCAAATTGTTTGAGCACAATATCATAAGCAATCGTAATGTGTAGTACTAAATATTGGGATATAGAATGTAATGTTCTTATTTTTTTCTGAGAGTAGAAGGAACTTTTTCTATTTTTTCACACCTCGGCAATCTTATTTCTTTAAATGATGTGGATTTTGTGCCCCCAGACACCCACAGTTGTTAGTGTTCAGATAGCAGGGTGTGTGGTCCCTCAGTTAGCCATACTCAATGACAAATGAAATTAACTTTATATGACCAAGCTTGAGCAGATGTAAACAAATAGTGCTGAAACCCCCTAAACTCACATTCAATTCATTATTCTGTATTTGTTTTTCTAGGTTTGTAGACATAAGATTTGTTAATTACTTGTTAAAACAGATTTTATGTGCATAAAATTAAAGTCAAAGTAAGAAAAGCTCATGAGGAGTACACCAACAAAACCATTTGAGCACTGAAGTGAAATGTTTTTCTTTTTTATTTGTTATCTTTTTCCTTATACTGAGATGATAAGTATTAAAATATTGTTTATTATATCATAATTGTTCAATATCTAACGGATCATACAGTTGCTCATTATATCGTCCAACCATCTGTACAATTTAGACTGATAGAACATTTTTCATTTGTCCGATTTTCAGGAGTTGGAATGTCTACCTCTTTTTTGTTTTTGTTTGATTTTTCCTTGAATATTCTTGAATCAATTTTTAGCAATGTTACTAACCTTTGTACATTATTTGTTAATATCCTTAATATATATACTATTTACAGATGTTTCTCAAGAAATTTTTATTTGTGCTGTCTAACAGCAAGCAAGATTACAGCAATGATGAAGCTTAATGTAGTGGTAGATGTGATTGATTGGGTTAATAATTCAGTGGCAGTCAATATTAATGCTGATTGATTTATTTATTACCAGATATTGATTAATGTCTGTTGTCCCGTGGTTGTAACCTTATTACCTCTGTTTTCTCCGTGATAGCCCAGATCAAGCTTTGTGTGAGGGTTTTTATATGTAAGAGTTTGCTTCCTTCATTTATAGACCAGCTGTCCCCTAGACATCTATTTAATATTTTAAAAGTCAAGTTATAGTTCAGGATGAGGAAAGCAGAATATTGTGTGTTATCATTTTAACATAAAAGTCAATATTTTAAGAGAATAGTATGAACAAAGTCCACCAGTTTCTTTGCATCAATTTTATTAAATAAGTATTCCTTGAATTCTTGTTTTCTTGAGGGGGGTGGAGACTTCAGAAATACTTTTCTGGTTCTGAAGCTTTATATTGTAATTTTAAAAAGCTGTATGTTTATTACGTTTAATTGTTAATCTGCAGGTATATGGTATGTTTTACATGTATTCAGTATGTATGGTTGTGTCTTTATATATAGTCAGAACTGTATTGCACAAAGTCTTTTCTTAAGAAGGTAGTCAATTTATACATATTTAGTAGATCAAGTATTTTTCCTTTGTGCCAGTTCACTTTAAGATTAGAAACTTGAGATTTTTAAAATTTCTCTCTTTTTTCCATCAATAATGTGTCATCTGTACTGTAGATCACTACATGTATTTGACACATTATTTTCGCAAGACAGCAAGCTGGTATTTATAAGGGAGACAAAATTTTCACGAGCTGTTGTGATTATTGTATATAATACTTAGCAATACAATTATATGCGAGAATAAAACTTTCACAAGCAGTCTTGTGTAATTATGCGAAAATAAAGTTCTCACAAATAAAAAGTAATTTACAGTACTTAAGGAAATGTTAAATTTTGAAAAAGTGGCTAACTTTTGATATATTGATGATGGTTATGCTTTACTGTAGAATAGAGTTACATTGTAGGCTTATATTTCATGGCTTTTAAACTATTTTGAGAATTTTCCTGTCTCAGAAACCTATTTGCCATTGCACTGCAACTGAAAACTGCTGTCCAGGGCACATTAGTTGCTAAAATTGAAAACCTTTTGAAAAGATGGGGGGAGGTGTGGGGGAATAGTTTCACATTATAATTTGGAAATTTATCCTGTACTAGTGTGCTAATTGACTTTTTTCAGCATAAATGTAATTTATTCTTCACAGGTTTTGCTATAGTGGTTTAATAGTGTAAGCAAGCAATTTTCAGGATTTTTATCTATTTCTTTATTAAGTTGAGGTGGTTTTTGAGGGGAGAGGAAGGGGGCAGTCTTCAGAATTTCTGAGTATTGAATAGGGTTAATGTTGCAAATAAACACTTGTTTTATATTTAGCTTTCAATTTATTTGTTCCCTTAGTTACACCTAGTGAGATAGCAATGTTGTGACTGATTACAGCTGTGTTCAGAATTACGGAATAACTACCTGTACAGTTCTCTTGATTTTGTGTTTGAAAGAGATTTTTTGACAGAGCTGCTGTTGTTAATATCTCAAACACATCTACAATATTGTGTCATATTCTTACTGCACAAAATTTTTCTATAGATCCACTGTATGGAAGTGTTTGAGCTTATATGATAAATTGTCAAGTTTATTTGTGAGTCACATAGAAAATATAAAGTGTGTGTAAAAGACATGATTTTTTGTGTGTAAAAGTTCATGTGTTATTGTTTGTCAGGTCGTAAGTCATGAATAAAGAACTGAATAAAATCATGCAAGGAGTTGTCAATTTTCATCTTAATAACTTGTAGATATAGAATCAGAAAATAAATGAATTATAAACTTCCTTCTTTAATTGTAACAATGTCTGCTAGATTATCTCAATAGTTCTATTAATCTGTAAAAGATACATGTAATGTCAACAGCAGAGTTAAGCTTATGTTGATAAATACTAGAACTGCCAGGGGCCTCTTAAAAATGAATATGACCATAAAGAAACTTGATAGATAATTATCTACTGCAGACTTCATTTTACAGTCATTTCCTGAGGACCATTCTGAACTAGCAGCTAGCTTGTCAACATGCTGACCCTTTAAGTTCCATTATTATTCCAGTCAACTGGACAAGAAATCAACAAGCTGACCTTTTAACCTGTAAGTATTATTGCTTTACCAATATTGACAACCGATATTGCTGACTGGACTCTGTTATGTAATTTAAACACCTGTTCTTAAATCCCTGTATGCTTTTCTTCTTGTGATATTGTATAAGTTAATGTGTTTATGGGACCTTTACAAATTTCTACTCTTATCATTGTCTACATAGGTATAAAGTGCTAAAAATACCGGGACAGTTAAAACCCTGTGAAGCGAGTCTATTGATCAGCTGTTTGTACCGCTGACTACAGTGGATATTTCTCGCAATATGTGAGTGGATATAGCTAATATTAACATTGTCACTTAGAGGTAAGCATTTACAAACTTTTTATTTCTACTTCTCTTTAGAAGAGAAGGATGATTTACTATTTAGGGATAGGAAAGAGAGGTTGGCAAGTTTTGTGCAGTTTTTTTCAGATCAATGCACAAAAATAATCTCTATAATTCATAGAATGAGAGGAAAAAAACACAGGCCTTAACAAAGTCATTACCAGTGACGTTCAAATAAGTGTTTTATTATTATTTGATATGTGTGTTTATTCTGGTAAAGAGATTATAAATAAACATATCCAGTTCACTTTACCCAGACATTTTAAAGTGCTCTTTGACTTGACAGAATTGTCCCATTCAGTTTTCCGTCTTCTAGCTAATGTGTTTTAAGCCTTTGAAGTTTGTAGAAGACATTAAATAAAGTAAATTTTTAATACATCATGCAGGTACAGAGTACAACACTAATCTTGCAATAATTTTTAAATTGCACTTTATAAATGAATTACCTTTAGAACAGATTTTACTAGCTGGTCAGGCATGCATGGCTGGTAATTATGTAGTCACTTAAACTGTACACTTAGTAGAAGTAATATCTAAGTATTTCATTTTTCCAAACAATCCCATTTTTTTTCACCACAATTTTGAACAAAGACAGGACAAAGAGTTTTTGTAGTACTTTGGTATATTTTTATAATGTTAAAACAGTAGTTGAATTTAACTATTGTAAAAATGCTACATCTTCAGAGTAAACACAGACAAAAATGTTTATTTGATGATGATGCTGAAAACATATATGGATTTATCTATTAAAAAAAAAGTATACCATATTATTTTTTAGTCTTACTTATTAAGTCTAGTATATCTGTGTAATTCTTTGTGCAAGAATATTTAAATCTTTGTACAAAATCTTCTCCAAAATAATATCTTATATGTTTCTATAAATATTAATTAAAACTTTTCAAGGTCAAACTTCCTTGTCAGTTGCTCTTATCACATGCAGTTTTTCACTTTCAAAACAACTTCTTCTAGAAAAGGAAGTATACTTCTGCACTTCAAAATTTGTCAATACAAAAAATGTTTAGACTGAGGTTAGAGGTCAATCTAGATAATACCCACCTATATAGAGAAAGATATAGATTGTTCAGACTGTGCTTATAAAGTCATTAAAATCAATAGAGATACACATGGAAAATTACGTATTTACACATAACGCCTGAGTTTTTATTTGTATAGTCATGATTCATGTCAGTAAAAAAGACATTCTAACACTGCACACAGCATTTCAAAATGCACAAGGTTGACAAGTTCTAAGCTGTTAACAGACAATTATTCTCTTGTATTTTGACCAAATTCAAAGCACAATGTTAAACAAAAGCTTGATAAATATAGCCAAAACATGCAGGTGGAATTTTGCAGTTTAGAGGTCTATCCACTATCATTGGTTCTCGTATGTCAATAATTACTTAAATTACATTATAATTAAAAATAACAATATTACTGTGTTATACCTTTAAATTTCATAAATCTTGCTTTAGTATTCTGTGTGTAGAAGCTGTTTTACAGTTTTTCATGTACAGCTAACCACTGACAGGAATATGGGGATTCTTTAATTTACAATAGTCAAGCCTAGGTGTTAGTTAAACCCATACATTTTGAAATCTCAAAGGTATAGAGATGGATGCTAAGAAATATGTCTGATATGTTAGAACATGTTACTACTGAGTTAAAGATTTTCGTTGAATACACATACACAATAATAATTATATGTACAGTACATATTTATTGCGCTTCAAGTGCATAAAAGCAAAAATAAAGCATCCATTTGAATATACAAATCTTAAACTAATTAAGTGATACGTTATCTGAAAGAATTTACTATGCACAAATGAATAACTATGAATTTGGTATTATAATTTATCAATAGATTTGACTACATATTTTTTCCACATTTTGAACACATTAACTAAATGTTATTTCCAAAGTAATTGTACAATATCTGTACAGGGCTGGAGGGATAAAGAATATTTTTCTTTAATATTGTTTAACTTAAATGGACAAAAGTCTTTTCATTCTGCGCTGTTTGTAAATAATTGATGGTATGAAGTGACCCCAGTTAGAAGTGGCCGTGGCTAGGACAGTGTAGGAGTCGACAGGTAAGAGGCCTTCAGGTGATATGTACCTGATCTACTGATGATGAGGCTGAGGAAACATACACCTATAGCGGCCATCAGAACTTTTATAAATCAGCCTTGATCAAGATGCTCCGTCCTTTTAATAGTAAAACTTGTGTTTTATGAGCTATTTGTATGTTGTATAAATTGAACTCCTTTGGAATTTTTATAGTAATTTTGTTTAGCATTTAGAAATTCTGTATGTAAAATATATGTAAAATTTTTCACAGAAATGCTTTTTTAGCTTACCTGAGCCTAATTAAGGGATAACAGTAACAGATTATAATCCACTTTTTTCAGTTGTATATATAAATCAGGTCCAGCACAATCTCTTGATTAAGCTATATAGCTTTATTAAGCTATTCAAAATAGCTTGATAAAGCTATTTATATGCAGTTTTTCACAAAAACGTTTTTTGCAAGAAATAAACAAAAAGTATTTGACTATTCCTATGCGTACTATGGACTATCAAAAATACAACCTAAATCATAGAAAGTTCGTTCTAACATTACTTTTAAGCAAAATATGAATTTCGAATCCATTGTTTGATTAACTGTCCACTATTTTGGGTGCGGTGAGGCATGGGTAAGTATGATTGCTTCTCATTGTGCTGAACTGTTACCAATCAATTATCCTGTTGGCCATAACTGGCCTCCTTTATAATTTCATTCAAGAAATAAATGTGTGGTCACTCATCAATAGCCCCAAAACTTCAGAAACTTTTAGCACAAAGTCTCTCAAGGAGACGCAATATGGTGAGTGATTTTTACATGCATTTTATTCAGAAGAATTCAAAGTTTAATATTCCCACTGCACCATGATGCGACTTTTTACACATGCTGAAAAAATAAAACATTTGAGAAAAAAGTCTGATAAAATAGCTTAATCAAGCTATTCTGAATAGCTTAATAAAGCTATTTAGCTAAATCAAGCCATATAGCTTAATCAAGAGATTGTGCTGGACCTGTAAATATATTGAGGAGTAGTAAAAAAAGATGCTTGGTTGTTATCCCAGAATTAAAGCAAAGAATAAGAAAGTGTTAGGATAGTAACAGGACTGAAGCACCCCGTTAATAAATCTGAATTGTTATGAGTTGTAAATTATAAATGACTAAAATAATCTTTTTGTTTTCTTAAAGTCCCTTCTAACCCAAGTCTGGTTGACTTTTCATTTGGTCATGGCTATCCATGGCTTCTGGCAAGAAATGGATTACTTCTATTGTACTGAAGTGTATTACAGTGGACCTTACTTATCTATTGTACTTTTTAAATGTTATTTTGTCTTGTTTAAGTGGTGATTATATCCGGACACATATCCGTTAATAATTCATGTATTACACTAGTTAATAATTCATATCACAATTCATAACTCCAGTACATAAATTCTTTTGTTGTAAACAAGATTATAGTACTTGGTAGATATGGATTAAACTGCTGTACATTTCAGTGACTTTTATGAAAGAACTGTATATCTCTTCAGTATATACCTAGCTTACAATAATAGACCTATATAAGACCTACATAATGACTGATATATTCTCGCTATTGAAATTTCAATGATGTATAAAAGACTTGAGGGCTTTGGTCACATTTTTTCAAAAATTGTAGGTCAGTTTTATTCTTGACCTTTCAACATTCTTATGATTCAGAAAGAGAAAATTTTTTTGTATTCTTGCATTTTTTTTTTAACATCAACAAATATTAAAATAGAAAATTTATAAATAATTCACAATTCTGTTGGCCGATGAAGTTTCATTGAAATTGATGATCCCTTAACAGAGTTATATATTTCTGTTGATATGTAAATGCTAACATTAATCAAAGTACTCAGAAGTACAGAGAGCCGGGCTCATTTACAGAGTAGAATGGATTTTTTTTACATGAATCATGTTTATATTCTGATGGAAAAATTATTTTAAAACTTTATAAATGATAAGACCTGACAGTGTTTTTCAATCGTAATACCACGATATAAAGTTGAATGTAAACAAACAGGCCAGTCAGAAAATAATGATCAAAAATCCTTAATGAACTGCTTTGACTTATGAAGTTTTCAAAGTCATTACTACTAATGTTTATTTTATATAGAAAAACTGTTTTATATTTGTTGATTTAGCTTTGTATTATGTCAAAAGCGGTTGATATCCTCTTTAAATTGGCATGTCATAAAAGGGATTGATTTACCTACCAATATATTATCATGTATTAGTGTACACTTATTTCATTTTATGATTTGAGCAACCAAATATTAAGCAGATTTATTTTGTTTTTCTCAAAAAAAATCTCTAAATAATATCAAATGTCATTAACAGCAATTTATGATCTCTTTCACACACTGTAGAGTTTGTGTTACTATTATGCCTGCATCATCTTAAATGTGATATATGAATGGCAGTTTTTAAATAAATATACCTATACCAATGATGATTTGATTACAAAAATTCATGTACTTTAATCTCAGAACAGTTGGTATTTAAAAAACTAATATAAATAACATATATAATTTATAACTTTCTGGTTTATCAAAAAATTCTGCAGCTAAATGATCTTTTAATCAGCAATGAAATGTATAAGTGCACTGTTTTCTATTTGAAAACTTCATATTACAATTTCAAAACAAAAGGATTTGATGATAGTTTATTACAAAACATGCATCCTACACCTTTTAAAGAATTACTTGCACAATAAATTTACAGTTTGTAGTAGTCACGTTATCTAAAAGATTTTTTTTATTGTGAATAAAGAGTTTATAAGACATGTAACAAGTGATACTTTATATAGCAAATTAAAATTCTTTTTAGGGATTTTCTTGCATTTCTTTGTTGTCTTGATATTTAAATTGATGTTTCAAAATGTTTTATTTGTAAAATCATCAATCATACTATGAAAAGTCTTCAGAATTGCAACTGATCAATATCAATAAAATAAATCAGATTGGTGGTAGTGTATTATTATTTTAATGTTCACATCTACATATCAACAGAAATATATCATTTACCTGCTTAATCTTTGAAAAAAATGAAACCAATAAAAAATCAATGAAATCAATCAAATTTTGAAAAGAAATTAATTTTTGAGTGAGGCCAAAATTGAGGCCAAAAATTTTTACAGAGGCCAAATCTGAGGCCAGGCCAACTTTTGAGGCCAGGCCAAAATTTGGTTTGAAGCCAAATTAGAGGCCAAGATAGAGGCCAGGCCAACTTAGAGGCCAGGCCAGGCCAAAGGGGCCAGGCCAGGTATTAGAGTATGCCGATAGCCCATTAAACAGCTGTAGTTCAATATACATGAAGTCTGCAATATATACGTGAATTAATTTACCTTGTGATATAAAGTTCAAGTCAGAAAATAATGAAATAAAAATGATTGCTCTAAATAGCCTCCGTAAATGAAAAATGAGATGCTTTATGAGATATCCTCTTGCATGTCATAAAAGGGATTGATTTACCTAAATATATTACATGTATTAGCAATAATTCTAGTAGCAACCAAATATTAAGCAGATTGTTTCTCAAAAAAATTTCATGAAGCAATTTATGATCTCTTTAAATTTATGGGTGAGCTCTGGAAAATGGCAGTTGATATCCTATGATGTAAATATGTTGGGGGAAAAACATTCATATATGGTTTATCTCAGCTAAATGATCTTTTATCAGCTGTAAGGCACTTTTCTATTTGAAATTCATATTGAATTTCAAAAGGATCATGGTAACAAATGTACACCTTTTAAAGAATCACAATAAATTTACACTGTAGCACTGTATAACGATCATAAGAAGGGATTTTCTTTATATTCCTATAACTGAGTATATTATTTTTCTATAGCTATTTAATATTATTCTCGATCCACATCAGATAATCACTGATTTTGTATCTATATCTATCTAACTTAGATACGAGTTCAGTGAACTTGTTCTGTGTTTGTTCCTTTAATTGAAAGTTGAGAAACACCGACACAAACTGATCTCTAGGTACAAACAGCTTAGTAATGGGTCCCCCCAGATCAATACTTAGTGAATCATAAACACAGGTAAAGAGATTCTGGGGGGACGGAGGGGGGACTGTAGGGGGGGGGGGAGGTACAAACAGCTTAGTAATTGGTACCTCCATCAATGTACAGACAAATAAAAAGATTCTGAGGGGTAGATGGGGGACTGAAGGGGGTGTACAGGTACAAACAGCTTAGTTGTGGGTCCCCTTCATCTGCCTTCATCAATACACTGAATCAGGGAAAGGTAAAAAAGATTCAGGGGGTGACAGATGGGGGGCCATAGGGGGTGATGCAGTGCAAAGGCTGCAAAAGAAAAGTGCCAATATTTAGTGCATCCTAAAAGGTGTGAGTTACTTATATGTAAAGGAAGGAAAATGAATTGCATGCGTAATTGTGTTTTACTTGTTTTTGGCAAATTGGACTGAATTGTAACAGATGTTCCGGGACATTGATTTATATGTAAATTCAATATGTACATCAAGAAAAATAGGTAATGCTTGGTTGTTTGTATTGAATGTCCTTGATTTTATTTTTTAGAGCCTTTTTAATTTTGAAAAGGTAGAAAAAAACTTATTGATATTAGGGTTTTTTATTGATATATCTATAGATATTCATGTACTTCAAAAAAAAATGATAAATTGATTTGTCTATAATTATTGTCACAAACTTTCTCTGTAAACTAAGTCTGATATTAATTCATGAAAGCACAAATTGAAAGTTGCCAACATTTTTAAATACCTCAGTTTTCAAATTCACCCAGGAAAAATTAATTAAATGAGATATGGGATCAAACTCAGAGTGGTAAATATAGATTACTAATCACAAAAGCTTTATACAGTTTCAAATTTTAGAAATGAAACTGATAACTGTTATTGTATCTTTAAAGAGTTTATCATGATAAATAAGGTAGCAAGAGGAAATATTATACCAACAAACTGTAATAAACATGAAACCTCTAGATATGAGTGTTTTGTTCATTAAATATGGATGTATAGAATTGCTTGTATTGTACATATAGGGATAATTACAAAATACAAGTTTGCCAGATATTTTTTGTGAGATGAAGTTGGGGCCTATTTTCATATAAATAACCTCTATTGATTTCTACATAAATGTGTAATTTAACAGGTGCACACTTTCTAACACTGTGTGAAGGAATTACATGGGCAGTGTGCAGAGCTAGATCTTCTCCCTGGAGCGGGGTGATATACCGTGGAGTCCGGATTTTACTGCCGAGGCAAGAGCATCATGTGACCCTCGGAGTCTGACACTATGGCAGGATGGCACAGTCTCTCGGGGTATCTCTACTTCAGAACGGGCGGAGGTAAGTCAAAATAACTTCTGATATTTACAGGCAGCCCTGTGTCTGTACTTCTTAACAAATGCTTGTATAAGGTACAAATGTAAGCACTAAGCATAGTGGTCACTGACTCCAAGGCTAGGTAAATAGCCCTGGTAATACAGAAAGTCTTGTAAACTCTGTGATACTAGTACTCATCTCACTATTACTGTTGAAAATGATACAATTTATAGCCAGGGTATATTTATTTCACACAGTGTGATGGGGGATATGTTTTCAATGTTATCCTTTTCTTTTGATGCTAATCAGATTATGCCTCCTATATCTGTATATGTTTTTCCCCATAAGATAACTGGTCTGATGTCAGAGATGGTAGCAATTTTTCCAGATTTTAGGCTCATAATCGAACTTATGCAAAACCTTCTTAATCATCATGGTTAAAATTTTGGGAGCAGCTCTATTTTCTAAGTGCAAGGCTACGTAGAGCAGACTTGTGGGGATGAGGCCTAGTTTTACTTTACCTCTCGTGTTTGGTCCTTAGACTCAGATTTATGGATGAATGTTGGACTTACTGGAAGTCCTTTTTTCCAGAAAATTAAACCCTCTGGGATCATTAAATGACATGCTTGACACATCAAGCTTAAAGAATGATAAACCATCATATAAGCATAGGTTGCTGCAACTTTCAGTGGTCAGCAGGCCCTCTGCCTACCAGAATTATGAGCCATATTAGGTTCAAATTTGCAGGGATGATGCATGTAGAGATACTCACTTACCAAGGCATGTGAATTTCAGTTGCAGTATTAGTGCATTCTTGCGGTCTTAATGCTTCTTCTTCCTATGCCATGCAGGGGCTTGTGGGCATCATCACACTTGATCTTCATTTGCTATATTTTTTCTTCATATGTATATAAAAATGCTGTAGTTACAAAAAAAAAACATTGCAACTTATTTAACTTGAAACAGCCCCTCTTTTATATAATTATTTAGAACTACATTTGTTGAGATGAGCTATGTAATTTTTTCTAAATGTATGTAGAATTTTCATCAATTTTTTGTCACTGACTGTTTTGACTCTCTGCACTGCTTTGGTCTAAAGATATGCAAAAATCTTTGAAGCTGTTGATGACAAGTATTGATTACAAGGGCCCCATCTAGATGTCAAACAGATGACTAAAATTATGACAAATTATACATTGTCTAAGTTTTTTTTTTCCTGCTAATAGAGGTCAGTGTCTGTCATTAGTTTGTGTGTACTGGAGATTTGTGGACATTCCCCGGTGGTCGCTGGATAATCAGGAGTTCATGACTTAACATGTAGACAACAAAGTTATCTGATGTGATCAGGTATCATAGAGAGAAGACAATGGCATCACTGGGTCATATCATATGTCAGGTTGAAAAAAAATAATGTTGGGCAGTGCTTAGTATATCATATTATAGACACTGTATGTTAGATATATTGAAAAATAATTTGTCCTCCATAAGGATAAATCTCTCTCTTTCTCTCTCTTGCTCTCTCTGACAACCCCCCCCCCCCCCTCCCCCAACACATACTGTAAACCAACTATTATTCGCGTCATCTTTTATTCGCAATTTGTCGATTAGAAATCAGTCCACGACGATTAATTTTTGTGACTGAGGAAACATTCCCTACAAATACTTAAGGAAAATGAATGGTTCGCGGCGATTAATATTCACAAGTAAGAGTAGGTCGCGGAACTCGCGGATAATTCTCACACACAAATAAAATTTGGATTACAGTATTTAGTGATAGTCTCCTTAAGGTTAAATCTCTCTCTTTTTCTCTCTCTCTGACCCCCCCCCCCCCCCCCACCACCACCACCACACACACAAATACACACACACCCTAGCATGCACTACACATTTAGTGCTATATTTATAGCACTGTTTGCCTTTTTTAATATTGAAAAAATTACAGTAAAGCATGGTTAAAGCAAGCACACTTTTAGGGAATTCAGGCTAACAACACTTTGGTGGCCACTTAGTGTCAAATCCTGATTGGGCATATTACATCCAAATACTAACATCAATTATTATGCTTACAATTGCATGTATACAGCAATTTGTCTAAATTTTCAAACCCAAAACCTGTTTGCAGATATTAAATCAACAGGCAGATGAAAGTTTTCTTGACATCAGTTTGAGTACTAGTTCATATCTTACTGCAATTTTGGTATAAAATGATAAATTCGAATGCATGACATATGTGTATATTTGTCAGAGAATATATTTTCTTCAAGATTGTTGTAAATGGTACCAGTATGGTAATGAGCTGAACCGATGTTCTCAAGGTCATGAGCTTCATTCCTTGTGTGGGTGCCAACATATTTTCTGTAAAAAAAAAAAACAAAAAAAAACAGTGTTCACCATTTCAACATAGTGATTTTCCTATATACAAGTATATAAGTTCCTTGTATACTATTTGAAAATAGTTGGGTATTATTGATTATAGAGAGACAAACTGACAGAAAGCATTATAATATCATTAAGTTTATAATGAATCCAAATTTCCTAGTACTTTGCTATAAGAATAATTTACTGTTACATGGAAGGTTATAATATTGATTGCCAGGTCTTTGTTTAAATCCAAGTGACTTGGATTAATTACTGACCTAACAGATCCTTGTTTGGGGGTGACAGCTGCTTTCCTTATTAATTCCCATCAATGTGAAGCGACTGATCTATAACCTTTCTAGCAAAGGAAACCCTTGACATGCCAAATGATATGATTTCTAACTTGTTTGCTTCATACTTAAGCTTGTCATCATACACTTTTAGCATTGATGACCCATTTTCTTAGTTGTCTTGATTGACAAGTAAATCAATTAATTAATTATTGTTTATTTCAGTTTTTTAAGGTTGGGAATTTAGGAATAGTTTGTAGGTTAACTGATTGTTTGTTTCTTGAGAATCAGGATAATAGACAGGAAATTTTGCATTGCTCAAAAGTCCTTAAGTGTCTCAGGGTAATTTAAGAAAAATTTGGAATTATTATTTCATCAAGTTTATTGCATTATTTTGGTATCTAGGATTAGGATTTATAACTTTTATTGATATTGTTTTTTTAGTGGAGGGAAGAATTTCTTTCTAAAGAGACTTTAAATTCTATAAGTTAATTCTTGGAGTCATTCTCTTGCAGGAATCAGCCTTCTGAAGACGAGGAAGCGGATGTGGTGTGTTCTGGAGGAACGACAGAGTCAGCTGGTGTACTACAAGAATGAGGAGGATGTACGTACTGGGAAGTCCCCCCAGGGGAGCCTCAGTCTTATAGGGGCCGCCATCTCACTGGACCTGGATAACAACAATCAGTTCATTATACTGTAAGTCATCAGTACACTGTAACACTATAACCCTGAACTTGGGACCCTGAAGTCATAACCCTTAGAAATTCATTTCACAGAAACCCTGAACTTGGGACTCTGAAGTCATAACCCTCAGAAATTCATTTCACAGTAACCCTGAACTTGGGACCCTGAAGTCATAACCCTTAGAAATTCATTTCACAGTAACCCAGAACTTGGGACCCTGATGTCATAACCCTTAGAAATTCATTTCACAGTAACCCTGAACTTGGGACCCTGAAGTCATAACCCTTAGAAATTCATTTCACAGTAACCCTGAACTTGGGACCCTGAAGTCATAACCCTCAGAAATTCATTTCACAGTAACCCTGAACTTGGGACTCTGAAGTCATAACCCTCAGAAATTCATTTCACAGTAACCCTGAACTTGGGACTCTGAAGTCATAACCCTCAGAAATTCATTTCACAGTAACCCTGAACTTGGGACCCTGAAGTCATAACCCTTAGAAATTCATTTCACAGTAACCCTGAACCTGGGACTCTGAAATCATAACCCTCAGAAATTCATTTCACAGTAACCCTGAACTTGGGACCCTGAAGTCATAACCCTTAGAAATTCATTTCACAGTAACCCTGAACTTGGGACTCTGAAATCATAGCCTTCAGAAGGGATTAACTTGTAACTGATTCTTATAGTACTGTTTTATTCTGCATTCCTTGAAAAGAGTTGGTAGGTTAATAGTTTGTTTCTTGAATAGAAATATCGAGATTCAAATCCCCTTGGAATCAGATAGAGACAAGAAAATATTGATTGCTTGATCTTTGGTGAGAGTAACAGGTCTTCTAAAAGAGATGTTAAATCTAAGGTCCCAATATTGTAGTAAGGTTAGTGGGAATGTCAGGTTTTCTAAAAGAGATGGAAAATCTTGTCAAGTGTAGTTATTGAACTAAGGTTAGTGGTGGTGCCAGGTCTTCTAAATCTGAGTTAGGTCCCAGTACTGGACTAAGATTAGTGGTGGTGTCAGTATGTGTAAAGTATTGTCCTTATAGGAACATTAAGCTTTGTATGATTAATCAGTCACACTGACCCCAGAGCTGTTATTTGCTCAGCTGTTGTAACAGCTTTCATTCCTAATTATACAATATTTATGTCATAAAGTGGTCAAATATGCAAAATTTATGTCGTGAAATCACACTTACATTAGTTTTATATCAAAAGACATCATGTATCTTAAGTGACATTACTGATATATTATTTAATTATTTTACTTGATGGCCTTCCTTGCTTAATTTGAAGTCAGAACAATAAGTTAAAGAATAGTTTCTAAAGTTAAAAGGTGATTTAGTTCACTTCCATGGCTCAACCGCAGCACGTTACATCAAGAAGTGTGATTAAGGAGCCATTAACATTCGATTCAACATACATGTATTTGCAAAATCCATTGAATTAATGCTCTTTTTGATAATCTCATTTTATTGTAATATATACAAGACTACTGTGCCTTCTTTTTTAGCGCTAGCTTTTTTTTAGCACAGATGAGAAAAGCTTACCTAGTTTGTAACAGTTGTCCATCTGTCGGTCTGTCTGTCCATATCTAAATAATTTTTAAGAACATGTGTGCTCCTACAGTTTTTGGCAGATTTTCTAAAGTAAACTTGGTATTCACATATAGTAATACTCTAAAATACATAATTAGTCTCTTTTAATATTGTAAGTACAGAGCATTGTAGACCTTCGGTGAGTCTCTTCAGAGACTTCTTGTTTTGACCTTCAATTCAGTGAGCCTTTGTTGAGTGGGGGCTAATTGTCTAGGAAGACCTTGAACAAGTTAATGAGCATGTCAATTACTGTTTGACAATAACAGATGATGTAGGGCGATTAATGTCCATTATTGGGAATGTTATCAGGCATTTAATTTGTTTCTGGATTTGTCACTGAACGGTAGTGTTACCGGTCCATGATGGAGAACAATTTGATATCCGTGTGCACAAAAATCAGAGCTAATTACTGGTCCACCAGAAAATCTGATGTCTGCATGATTTAGATAATGCTTTTAAAATTAGTATTTTATAAGTAAAAATCAACATAAATGACTTCAGACTTTGTCAGTGTTTGTCAGGAAAATTATTTTTTTCATGTCAAACTTTTTTGGATTGCCTCTGCAGTATCTAAATTAAGCTACCAATCACAAAAAATATTTAATCCATGATCAGCATAATTTTGATACTGTTACTGTACAGAAGTATTTCTTTTGCCCTGTGTTATTTTTTGCCCTTCCATGCCATAGGTGTCGGAACATGTGCAAAGAGATACATAATATAGTCTTTGAAAATTGGGGCTTACCTTATTTTATTTTTGGGGGAGGTAGCCCCCCTCCCATTTTCAAATAGCCCCCCCCCCACACACACACACACACTCTATCAATTTACTTCCTACTCCTATGCAGACTTGCAAAAGTGCTTTGTTTTAAATTCACTCACCTGAGCTGGGAGTAGGACAAAGAGGTTGGGGAAAAAGCAAGGGGGAAAGGGAAAAGTTTCCCTGTATACAGTAGTAGGTCTAGAATACTCGTTGAAAAACCTAATTAGAAAACTTTATCACTAAGTTTTGGAGGGGTGTGTGTTATTTTCATTGTTTTTCAAGGGATTAACTGACCCTCAAATTTCTGTTCACCACAAAATGTAATTTTTCACAGAATTTCCACATTTATTTTTTTACTTACCCTAAGAAGTTCATTTGGTATTTGATGATGAATATTCATGAAATTATAAATCTTGTAATGAGTGTATATATATATGGGGAATTGATTTCCTATAAACATGTTTATTTGGAAGAATTACCAGCTGTTCTTGACCTTGCAGCTACAAGATAATAATGTCAACTGGGCTTCCAAACATACTTACAAACAGGCTAGTGCCCTTGTTATCTGAAATTATTTAGTGAGAAAAGTACATCAAAACTATCTAGGTGACTTTTTTTGTGAAAGTCAGATTGTCTATAATTTTATAAGACTTTCTGTGTGATACAAAGTCTTGAAAAGGTTAAAATGTTCAAAATAAATGACTGTAGATAATTTAAAAAAATAGAAATAGTTCATAGAATTTTAATTTGTGCAACTGGTTATTTCACATTGCTTTATCAAATTATTCAAAACATTTTTAGAAGACTTTTAAATGTTTTATTAAGAAAACACCTACCCGGTAATAGGAAAAAGAAATGTAAAGTTATCTTCATGCTTCATTCATAACTTGAAGCAGAGAACATTGGAATATTATACTGTGCCTAAAGGTTATATGTAACTGTTGGAAAGTAACAGCCTTGTTCCCAGTGCCATTTCAACATATAGGTTTTGAGAGTAAACCTGTTTCATTCCATTGTTTTATAATTGAATGAATAATTTAAAAAAAAATCATACTTGGCTTATTGGTTTGAAAATAAAACTGTATTTTCATAACTCTGAACAAAGGTCAGTTAGACTAGGTCAAGGTCACAGGGTTCAGAAGTGTCAAATTCTAGTATTGTACTCTCACAAATTCTCAAGACAAAACTGTGTATGGAAGGTGCCTCAGGAGGTCATACTTTCCAAACAAGGATTGGGTGTGACCAAGAGGAATGTTATGATTCTTAGCTGTGGCTGTTTACATTAGGTCAAGGTCACAGGGCTGAGAAGTTCATTGACCAATGACTTCTGAACTGATTAACAAGAAACACTGCTGGCCATAAGAATTTAAAGTCTATTTTTATTGCAAGTCGACAGAGTTCTTTCTAAGCTTTAAATAATGCTTATAGTTGCATTTTTAACTTCTATGTAGAATTGCTAAAAAAAAAAATATTTGATCCAAACAGTGGGAGGTTTGTATCAATCACTGATAAGGAGAAACCATTCTTCTCATGTATAATCAGTATATTACCAACATGACCTCACTGTGAAGTCTTAGGAAAAGAACAACAATTAAAATGGATTTCACATTAATAAATGTCACATATTTTAAGTTATGCACTTATACTCATCTGACTTAACATAACATGAAGAAAATTTAGAGAAAAGTTATATTGCTTTGAAGGATTGATGATTTTACCTCTTTCAATATATTGTCTGAAGATAATGCATTGGTTTGGTTTGTCTTTAAAAAGTCAAGAAAGTTTGTGTCTATGATAAGAAGCATTCAACATTCCATTGAAAGTTAACAGTTTTGATAAGGATTGTTACACTGTATTGGCATCATTGTCAGATATTTACTCTATATAGATGTAATTTCTTTGCAGATCTAACAACAAGGAACACATGTTTACAGCAGAAAACCATGAGTCTATGATGATATGGCTGCTGGGTTTACAGGTGAGTAATTAAACAGATCTCATTCCAGTTCACAATATTTTACAGCTACTGTGTTTACAATTGAGTACTAAAACATATAGTTCACATCTGTTTACAGCAGAAAGCCATAAATCTCTGATACTTAGGTTAAATTTGAGTATTCAAACAGGTTTCATCCTATTCACACCTTTTCACAGCAGAAAACTAGTACTCTATCTGACCTCTGTTGTAGGCCAGAAGAGATCTAACAGGAGGCAATGGAGCAGATGGTTTAGAGGAATGTTTCCCCAAAGTAAGAGTAAGTTTACACCAACAGGTGCTTGTCATTACATAGATATACACACCCCAAAGTAAGAGTAAGTCTCTACCAACAGGTGCTTGTCATTACATAGATATACACACCCCAAAGTAAGAGTAAGTTTACACCAACAGGTGCTTGTTATTACATAGATATACACACCACAAAGTAAGAGTAAGTTTACACCAACAGGTACTTGTTATTACATAGATATAAACACCCCAAAGTAAGAGTAAGTCTCTACCAACAGGTGCTTGTTATTACATAGATATACACACCCCAAAGTAAGAGTAAGTCTCTACCAACAGGTGCTTGTTATTACATAGATATACACACCCCAAAGTAAGAGTAAGTCTCTACCAACAGGTGCTTGTTATTACATAGATTACACACCCCAAAGTAAGAGTTATATATCAGTGTAAATAAGTTGTTTACCAGAAATATTGTGATAGGATTTATATAAATCAGTATCATTATATAATCTAATTACTATCAGGTCTGTGTTCTGCTTTGAAATTCTGATGGTTAGAATTTTGGAGTGTAACCAAGATCTTATTTTAATCAGATTATATCATTATATAAGTGTTGAGTCTTTAACTATAATAATTGTCTACAGCACAATGTTTGTGATGGATCAGATGGGAGTGGAACCTCAGCATTAAACAAGACAGCAGCCTCATTGTCTAGACGGAAGCAACACTGGCACAGCACGGCTCGCGCTACGGAGTCCCTAGACTCAGGGGCCACTCACTACAGATCTAAAGGTACCACACAACTTATCTAGTAGTAGGGCAGTCTTAATTTGGTGTCAAAATGATCATTTTTTCCTTGAATGATAAAAACTTCATATCAAAAAATATCAAAAGAAGCAATTAAATGCTGATCTTGTAAAATGCCTTGATGTCATAAACCACAAACAAGACAAGGAAATAATAGTTGAATGTTTTACTGCTGTTACAATCTTAATTATCAATGTCACCATATTGTAACTTAAGGAGAACCAGATAGTCTGGAAAGATCTCGGTCCCTTCCTCCTGTGTTTGAAGGTAATTAGACCATGGGTCCTCTTGAACAAGTAGTGAGTTCTCTCCCTTTTACAACTGTACCCTTATATAAACTCTTATTATTAAAATAACAACACTATAATAAAAGCATTGAGAATGCATGTTCTCAGAGCAAAATATTTCATTTCATTTCGATGTGAGTTGCTGCCAGTTTCTGTTAGGCTGATAATCCAAGAGGTTATGAGTTGACTCCCTTTAACATTCCTAACCTTATTTAACAGCTCTATAGTGAAAAGCTAGAGAATGCATGTTCTCGGGGCACAGACTCCTTTTCCTGCTGAAGTATTTCTCTTTGTCTCTTTGTGTCCACTGATAATCCAAGAGAATATTATAGATTGAAAAAATAATGCATGGCTCAATTCTTGAGAAGTCTGATAACCATTATATATGAAATTCATATTAAATATATATAAAAATATTTTAAAATATACGTGTATATGTAAACATATTCGATTTTATATTCTCAGTAGTTATGCACAAAATGGACGAGTGGTTTCTTGCATGAGAGATTTTATCAAAACAGTTATAGTATACTTTTAAGATCCAATATATGTACAGATGTATCCACCTCACAATTTAAGTAATCTGTTTGTATGTATTATATTAACTTGCCTTAGAACCATGACATTTTAATTCATTTAATCATTGATGAAATCTTTATGCTTGTAGTATACCAGGGTAATTTTTATAATGTCACTTGAACTCATTCCATCTACAACTAACACAACAACAACATAAAAAAAGAAAGTAATTAATTCAAACATGAAAATAGCTGAACAGATTTGTATCTATTGTACCTTTTCCACCATGGTACAATATTAAAGTGATAACAATTTTTTTTAATTTTCTACATTTTTGAAAACAAAGTTCTGAGGTCAAAATCTGTTTACCAAAATAATTGCAGTTTAACAAACATGATCAATGTCCCTTGAATTCAAATTTAAATCCCCTTATAGAACTTCAATACAAAGGAAGGTTATATATTCTTGTAAAATATTCTTCTTCAGCTGTGGAGTGTCCGTCGCTGGCAACCAATCACACAACTCGATCCCACATGAGTAAGAGTTTTGAGGGGCGCCTTTCTAAGGACTCAGGACTGGGTATGTCCTGTCAGAGCTGGAAGTTCTCGACGCTGAGTCTGGACAACCAACACAAGGCCCTGAGGGAGCTGTGTCGCGAGGAGTCGATCAGCAGTGACGACGAGGTTTTCAAAGAATTGACGGAGGTCAATGGCTTCCCCGAATCTGTCAACAACAGTAACATTATAAACTCACGAGTGGAGGAAGAGGGCTTGAAATCAGAAACAAGGGAGCAGAGAGAGTACGTCAATGGAGAGCAAAGAGAGTACGTCAACGGAGAGCAAAACGAGTCGAAGGAGGTCGGAAGCTGGTAAGTTCAGACTGTACAGAGTTATCTGCCTTGTTTTCATTGTAAATGTACTTGAAGGCATCAAAAATAGATGAATGTTTCATAGTGTTTGTTATATTATAACACATAATTATGGTCATATTTATATTTGTCATGAGTTGATTGATTTTGTTGCACTCTTAATTTGCTTGATAATTTTTGGTGTTGGTGGTATTGTTACACATATTTATCATGAATTGACTGAATTCTTTGCTTGAGTCTTTTTGCACTCTGTTAATGGCTATAAGTTTAGCTTCAAAGCATGGAATGTACTAATGGTACACAGATAAAGTACATATAGACAAGTACAGCTAGATACATATAAAAAGTCCCCCCATCTTTCCTCCTATCTCTCAGTATAATTGTGTTGATGTTATCATCCAGCTCATAGGAAGCTCTAGGGTCCATGCTGAGGGCCTGTGTATTTGTTCCTATATTGATTATCCTTTAGTGATGTGTGTTAAACATGCAAGATGATGTATCACCTGTTAGAGATGAGTAAGAAAGTGTTAATTGACTGGGATCAGTCCCCGAATCTACACTATGTACAGACACAATGATATAGGCGCACTCAGACAGGTGGCTGATAAAAGTCTTCATTAAAATTGTGTCATGTGAAAGGAAAAACTGAAACCTGAAAAGTTTTAGGAGAAGTTTTGAGATCTATGGATTTCTTGCTTGAGAAGTTGGAGAACGTTCGGATTACTCTGAATCGGATGATGGAGTCGGATAATGAGGATGTTGATTCTGATGTTTGGTAAAGTTTTCTAACTGTGGGGATTTTGCTGCAAGCAAGCCAATTAAAAACCATTTATGAATAAAACTTGTGGATTAATTTTGAAAGTTTGGAATGACATTTTGTACTTTGTCATGTTTAATTTTACAAATATTGACAAGGATTATGACTGAGTAATCTTTAAATATCTCTGCACCAGATGACTGACTTATTCAATCTGATTATAGTACACGTATTTCTTTTTTGTACATTACACTTATAAAACATTACATATTTTGGAAATTTCGATGTCTTTGTAAAGTTTTTTGGAACTCTTCTTTTACACCTTTGGACTTATATCAGGAAAAGTTTTTGCATGACTATAACACACAAAATGTTTTAATTCAAGTTTCCATAGTTCAGTGGTTTAGGTCTCAGGCTTGGGGGTTAAATTTGCACCCCTTTAGTTCTTATTCTGTTAGAATCTGATGTAGTTTTTGAATTGTTGTAAATATGCCATTTTGTTATAATTTCCAGTAAACGTGTTGGACAAATTTTATATTTTAAGAGTAAATATGATATAATAATTACTTTTCCTTTGTTTGTTTTCAGCAGTTCTCTGTCTTATGTATCGAGTGATTCGGCCATCGATCGCGGAGAGGCATCATCCTCGGAACTCGCCAGTCGCCTCATCGACCTAGAAAAAGAACTCATGTAAATTACACTTCTTAATTTCAAATTCATTGCTAAATATCTTTTTTATTTCAATATTAATGGATTTAAGAAACAGGATCTGGATAATTTATCTCAAAGCTTTAGAGTTTTGTGCAATTTTTATTTTATGCCATAAATGAATATATTTGTACAATTAATACTGAAGATCACTAAATTTTCGCAACATCTTATTTTTGTGAGATAGTCACTGACTCTTGATAAGCAAGACCAAATTTTCATGAATTTTGGTTATTGCTATATATAATCTTAAGAAATACTATTATACATAAGAAATAAATTTTCCAGAGTACACTTTCTAGCATAGTTACTTTAGAATAAAGTTCTCGTGAATAAAAAGTGATATATAGTACTGTGGAATCATTAGATTTTGTGTTGGCTCAATATTTGTGGATTTTATGAGTACATGGCATCCACAAATTCAAATCCTCACAAATTTTATAACTGAGTTGTTAAGAGCAAGTCTTCTATCCTTTTGTAAATACATGTATGTGTGAATTTGATGATTGCACAGTGTATAATGAACACAAATTAATAGTGTAATTTTATAGTATTTCTTAATTTTGTGGATGTATAGAAATTATAGAAAACATAGCCACCATTAAATTGTGCCCCCTCAATAACATCTAATGACCTTTATAGTTCCCCCAACTGAAAATGCATGGCTGTGCCCCCCCCCCCCCCCTTCAAATTGTTTCCTATGGGCCTGTTTAATTTAGTTATAAGAACAAACTGTATGTTTTCTGATTTAAATACCATAAAAGCAACATTTTGTGCAATTTTAGTGAGGGTGTTGAGATTGCTAAGATTAAATATGGCTGACTATTTTAGAGGTTACTGTTATTAATCTGTTCACCACTGTCCACAAAATTGCTTAAATTACTTCACAGTTTTTGTGGACAAATGGCTAAATTTGCTAAAAATTCCACTTATACAGATATCTTTCATTGATTTTTCTATTTTTTCCCCAATTTTTTGGATAATGGACAATGAATACATCCAAATTGTCACTATACAGCACATTAAGTATACAAGAATCAAACATGCAGCATAATAATAATGAATATTAACCAATGATTTATAACTCTTGAAATTCATTTGAAAGGTATTAACTGAAATCTTTTTCTTTAAACCCTTTTTTCCTCACCAAAACATACCAAACATATTAACAAGTTAAAACAAGTTAATTTTTTTAAAGAGGTGAAATAATCAATCCAGACCATATTTAATCCCTAATTTTTTTTTTGTTATTAGCCAAGAAGTAAATCATTAAGAATCAGTGTTGGTTGACTTGAGGACTCACATGCTGATAAATGAAATTCTATGGGTCCTGTTATGAGTCATCTCAACATCTGTCACCCACTCCCTGATACTGTTATGATGTATTCTATCATTATTATTTTACCTTTTTTCTCTACTGCAGGCCATGACTGCCATTCAGTGACAATATGTCAATGAGTAATACAGTTTATTCATCACAAAATTTTGTAGAGATTTGCAGTATGGTTTCCTAATATTTACAGGGGTACAAGTCATATAGCAAGTGATCTTTAGGCGGTATACTTTTACAAAGTTCTTTTGATAGGAATATATTGTTTTCCCTTTTAATTATTTTTTTCGGGGAGGGGGATATAAAAGATATAGGTTAATTTTCATTTACATTTAAGGTTAAACTGTAATGATTACAACAGGTGCTCACTTCAGCAACTATTTTTTGTCAACTGTGCATAAAACAAATCCTCAAAGATTGAAACACCAGGTTTACTACTGTATAGAGGCAAACAATGGTCATTAACATCAAATATCATATCGGTGCCAACTAAGATAAAACAAACCAATTATTTTAACCCCATGTAACAAATTTTTAGAAAGAGTTTATATATAGACACAGGGAATAGAGGTCTGCTATAAATGTGTATCTGGTCCACATTTTGTAATTGTGAATCAATAGAATGTCCTAGTTGACCCATTATTGTTAACACAGGACTACGAGTGAAACCTTAGATCAAAGTCAAGATGATGCTGATAGGAAACAAAACACAATTTTTTATGGCATCTGAGGCAAGCAGAGCTTGAGCATCATTTATCTAGTTTTTCACAGTCCTGATTCATTACTTTTAGATCCACGAAATGTGAGCTGGCCCAGGTGATGAACAGACAGGCTGGCTTACAGGAACTTCTGGCTCAAAGGGACGAGGCCATCCGATTCCTAGAGGGCAGGCTGGATACCTCCAACACACTGGACAAAAGTCTGACAGGAAAAACTAGGTAAGATACTAACATCTATAAGAGATGTCACTGAACTATAAATATAAAAGTTAACCATAAATGAAAATTTTATCATTATATAAATCTATTTTGCTCCTCTGGTGACCCAAATTGGACTAATAAAAAATCTTGTAATAATGAATATTTTGGGGTACTTTCTGTTAAATAGCAAACAACCACCAGTGAAAAGTGAGAAGGAACTACAAGAGAGACTTAGAATTCTACAAAATCAGAACAGGTTCCTAAATGAAGAGGTGAAAAAGTTAGCCAAGCTCAGACAGACAGACAGGTCAACCTTCTACCAACAAGAGGAGTAAGTATCCATAACTCATGTTACAGACAGACAGACAGACAGGTCAACCTTCTACCAGCAAGAGGAGTAAGTATCCATAACTCATGTTACAGACAGACAGACAGACAGGTCAACCTTCTACCAACAAGAGGAGTAAGTATCCATAACTCATGTTACAGACAGACAGACAGGTCAACCTACTACCAGCAAGAGGAGTAAGTATCCATAACTCATGTTACAGACAGACAGACAGGTCAACCTTCTACCAGCAAGAGGAGTAAGTATCCATAACTCATGTTACAGACAGACAGACAGACAGGTCAACCTTCTACCAGCAAGAGCAGTAAGTATCCATAACTCATGTTACAGACAGACAGACAGACAGACAGACAGGTCAACCTTCTACCAGCAAGAGGAGTAAGTATCCATACCTCATGTTACAGACAGATAGATAGACAGACAGACAGACAGGTCAACCTTCTACCAGCAAGAGGAGTAAGTATCCATAGATCATGTTATAGACAGATAGATAGACAGACAGACAGACAGGTCAACCTTCTACCAGCAAGAGCAGTAAGTATCCATAACTCATGTTACAGACAGACAGACAGACAGGTCAACCTTCTACCAGCAAGAGCAGTAAGTATCCATAACTCATGTTACAGACAGACAGACAGACAGGTCAACCTTCTACCAGCAAGAGCAGTAAGTATCCATAACTCATGTTACAAACAGACAGACAGGTCAATCTTCTACCAGCAAGAGGAGTAAGTATCCATAGATCATGTTACAGACAGCTAGACAGACAGACAGACAGACAGGTCAACCTTTTACCAGCAAGAGGAGTAAGTATCCATAGATCATGTTACAGACAGAAAGACAGTATATTAGCTGTATGAAACACATTGCAATATTTTAGATCAGCTAGTAGAAAGTGAAATGAATTGCTATTTTGAATGCTATGGTTTCTTTCAGTAAAGTGCGGGCTCTGGAGGCTGAGATAGAGAAATGGCACCTAGATTATGTGTCCCTGATTCAGTCCAGTATCAGGTTCTCCGGCTGTGATACAATGGATGATGCAGAGTTAGTCTTGTTTGGGGGAGACAGGGTAAGGGTTATAAAGTGTCATGAAATAACTTTCCAGTACTCTTAACTCGGAAAACATGGACCAAGTGGAAACTCTGACATAATTGTCATATTGTGGATGAAATTAAAATTCTAAAATATCCATCAAATTTCTTAACATAGCTTTACTGAAATTTTAAAGTTTAGTAGATTATAAAGGTTTCCACATGCTAAACTTGTATCTTGTCAACACCACTAATATGATAAAGAGCACTTTGCATATGTTTGGTACAAAAGAAACAAATTTTAGAATGTCTCATGTACAATGTATTTATTAGTGTCTTTCAGTTTTATATATTTCTGTATTTTATAATTTCAGCATAAAAGAAAAATTCAGAAGTTGTTAGAAGAAGCCAGAAGTGTGAACCCAAGTCTTCCTACTTATGAAAGGTAATCAAAAACCTGTCTATAGAACCGCAACAATCATGGGTTTTAGAGCATTTTTACATTTATCATAAAACTTGAAGTATTTAAGAGTAATCATATGTTTATTGTAAAAGAAATTTTTCACCAGACTTTTATATCCGTTTGACTTTCAGTCTTGCCAGTGGTGAGGTACATGTGGATAGCTATGGATTCAAGCACGTGTTTGAGGACACCTCTAACGGACTACTACTCCACTATCTGTGTCAGGAGCTGACCTTACACTATCTAATGCAGGCCGGCTCATACGAGGAGCACCAGAAAAAATGGACTCACTTCATGAGACTGCATGGGAAATCTATGGCTAGTCATGTGTGTAAAAGTTTAATTAATGTGTAATACACTGAGCTATAAGTTGAATTGTGTTATTATGTGTATCAAGGTCAAAGACTGTTTAAGAAGGGGAAGAATGTATAGTAGTAGTTTAGACTATATGGACCATGGACAATTTCTTAAGTAGCTCAGTGGTTAGACTACCTTATTAATGCACAGTGCTAAAATAGCTCTTGTCCTGAACAAGTATAAATCATTATTTTGCTTGTTCATGGTTGCAAGTAAAATTTCATCTCAAATTTACACTGAATTTTTAAATTCCGTAATACATGTACATAAAAAAAATTAGGAAAAAAATAATACATATGCAGTTTTCTGAGAAATATGAGTTTAAATGTTGTTGACAGTTGAAGGACATGAAGAGTCTGTGCCGCGGTGGTATCCCTGACCGATTTAGAACTCAGGTGTGGAGACAGCTGGTTTATTGGCAGGTACGCGAGGTGATGAGTGCCAAGGGACAGCACTACTACAGGAACCTGTGTAACATGCTGCCAGACTCTCCGGTACGCATCCTGTAAACAAGTCCTACTGTTAGTTAAACTAAGCAGTGATAGAGCAACAAATTTATTATCATATACATATATGTATTGAATTGTATTCCATTCTGTACATACATTTATACATTGTAAATTTTAGATTTGCAAAAGGAAAACAATTAAACTTTATTAAAAAATATTTCATTTTTAATTTGAATATGGTATGGAATTTTTTTTTATGAATTTGATAAAGCTATTGATTGTGATATGATTTATATTAATTTTTAGTTGGCTGCTCGGTACAGGAAGCAGATTTCTCTGGACTTAATGAGGACCATGCCCAGTAACATGAAGTTTTCTTCTCAAGGCTGTAAAGGGGTGAGTTATCTGCCCTTGTCTTATGATTTATGACAATATAAAGAAGATAAAAACCACTAAGTATTGCTTAAGTATACACTCGTCTGATAAAATCATGAATTTAAACATTTATTGTACTGATTTAAAGCTCTAACATGAATTTGTTTGCCACAAGTTTAACCTCATACATAAGATCAGTTCAATATGCTGTCAATCAGATCATCTACTTGTGTGATTTATGCTATGGCTACCCAGGCTTCAATTCACAATCACATATTTCCATAGTGAATCCTTTCCTATCAAGCTCTTTCGTGGACTACATAACTTTTGATTTCTAGAAAACATATACTGTAAAATATACTTCATGTATTGAAGGTTATGGACCTACAAGATGTACTATTAGCTTACTGTGTTCACAACCCAACCATTGGCTACTGCCAGGGCATGAACTTCATTGTGGGACTAGCTCTCATTTTTATGGAGGCCCAAGATGCATTTTGGTAAGCACTATGAATGTATATTATTCAAATTTGAAGGAGTTATTTCCCTTTAACATAATGCCTCTCTCTGTCTCTCTCTCTCTCTCTCTGATATAATGGTTAATGGTTATGGTATTGACATTCTATATGATATTGGTAGTTATTCCCCTTGAACACAATGCTCTCTATCTTTTTCTCTCCACTATAATGACTTAAGCCTTGAACCTTTTACAGGACCGTGGTAGCGGTGACAGAGAAATACTTTCCCTGTCATTATTTTGACCAGAATCTGATCGGAGCTCAGTCAGACCAACAAGTTCTCAAGGACCTCCTGGCTGAGAAGTTACCGAAATTAAGTCGTCATCTCGAGTCTATCGATATAGAAATCTCCACGGTCACACTCAACTGGTTCCTAGCCATTTTCTTTGATGCCGTTCCTTTTCAGGTAATCTTCTAAAACAATGAGTTTGTTTTTGAAATGCCAACTTTCATTATAAAAATATACATATATATATGAAATATATATGTAGTACTGTATTTTAACATTTATATATGATTTATATATGTGGATTGTGTATGACAATTTTTTTCATATAATTATTAATTTTGAAATATCAATATTCGTTTTCACAATATTGTTTTAAGGTCAGCTGTAGGTGAATTTCTTTATAAACAGTTGTAAAAATACAGCCTTATAATGAGTCTGCTGGTATTGACATTTTCTGTTTAAATCTAAATGAGATCATAGATTTTATCAGTCTGCTCTAATTGAATAGACAACATCTGGGGATTCTATTCATCAGTTTTATTATGTCATATAATACTGAGGTAGGAAAAACAAAACGTACATGAAAAGTACATGTGCACTGTGAGTCACAACACGTTATCTTTTGCTTCAAAGTATAACCTTATATTAGTATTAGTTGTATGACTAAAGATCAGTTAAAACAAGTAGAAAAATCTGTTTATGATCAGTACCCTTTATCTGAAATTGTTTTAACTATTAATACAGAAAACATATCTGGAAATGGTTCTGATTGTTATGTTTGGTGCCTACTAATAATTTATAAATATTGATCCTTCTCTAAGAATCTGCAAAGGATACTCTCCTTGAGATTGTTCTGCAGGTACATTTAAATAACAGTTTTAAAAACTCCACTATCTTATGACCTTGACCTTCTATTTAGATTTGTCCTTGGGTCTCATTTTTAACACCGTAAGTTAAAACATGACTCATTTTGACAAAAAATCATCAATTTTTAGTACACCAAACTTTTTTTTTTTTTTTTTAATAAATTTATTAATAATTATGCACGCCCGATTACAATTTCTAACTAACCCGGGCCAGGATAGTTAGTATAACAAAAATAACAGAACAACATATCTTAAAGCATTTCTACAAATGACACCATCTTATTTTTAGACATGTGAGTTTTTGTTAAATTCAGAAAAATGTTCATATTGTTTTTAATATTTGTTTTGACATAAGAAAGTAACATATCTTTTGTTTCAGTTTTGTTCGTAATTCTACAAAACATTTTAAATTTATATATCTTATATGCTATGAAAGACACAAAGGTATTTAAAAATTGTATTTTGGAATTCCGTTCAGAATAAAAACCTAGGACGACATGCTTCCACTGTACATCAAAATTTAACACAGAACTCAGATTTTTCCACAGTATATGAACATGTTCACAATCAAAAATTAAATGTCTAATATCTTCAATTTCATCACACATATTACATAAAGCAGAAGCTCTATATTTGCATTTAAAAAGAAAACTGTTACAACACAAAGTATTATTCAACAATTTGTAATTAAATTCACATATTCTTTTGTCATAGATATCCTTAACCTTGTTTCTATATATATCCTTCCAACTCTCTTGAGCAACAGAAAATAGTTTTTTATACATAAATTGATGGCCTGGAGCTTTAAATTTCTTAAAGAGTAAATTATCGTAAAAAAATTTACATTTTTTATCTTCAATACAATGTACACCATTTACAAAATTAAAATAACACTTCCCTATATTTTGTATGTATGCACAACAAGTCATATTGAATCTTAAAGATTTTTTTATAGATTGCTGTTTTTACTATTTTATATTCACATATCCAATTCGATTTTTGTTTTAAATCACCGGACAACTCTTGTAGAGTTTTAAATTTTCCATTTTTGTTAAAAAGGTCTTTAATATGTGTTATCCCACTTTTGATCCAATGTTTAAAACATATTGTTTTGTTTTCATATTTAAACATATTATTATTCCATATTGGTTGTTGAGCAAAACTTACATTAGACAATTTCGTTTCATCTATGTATCTTTTGCAATCGTTAAAACTGCAAAATACTTCTTTATAAAAAACCGGAAGGTTTGAAATGATTTGAAAGTCTGGGGGTTTTGTCTCTGATAATGTTAATAGATAGTTAATATCAATATTAAGGCAATTTAAATATCCTCTTACTATTTCGCCGATTATACAGTTTTCTTTTATTAAATATCTAGTCCATGCAGCCTTTAAGGATTTAAATTTCAATTCAATATCTATCACTCCTATTCCACCATCTTCCTGTTTTCCGATCACAGTATCTCTTTTAATCCTATCGCGCTTATTCCATATAAAGTTAAATATACTTTTCTTAATTTGTCGAGTATGTTCGGGATCGGGCATTGGTAATATTGAAGCCATGTATATAAGTTGTGACGTAGCTAAAGAGTTAACGACACATGCTTTTCCAAAAATAGTCAATTTTCTTTTTTTCCAAGATTCAAAGAGTTTTTCCATGTTTTGAAAAGTCTTTAGCCAGTTCAATTCATAACATTGAATTTTATTATGGCCAATGTGTATACCTAAACATCGAACAGCATCATTTGTTACCTGGATACCTTCTATGTTAGTGTATTTATCTTTTAGACTACCCAATAATATACATTGTGTTTTGCTTATATTGACCTTTGAACCAGCGTGTTTACAAAAATCATTAACAGTCTTAACTGCAACCTTCAACGAAGATATATTTTTTAAAGCCAATGTGATATCGTCTGCATGCTGAATATTTTTAATATCCCTTTTCATATTTGAAACATTGATACCTTGTATTTCATTGTTATTTTTAATTTTTAAGGCCAGTATTTCTGCCACAAATAGATACAATAGAGCTGAAATAGGGCATCCTTGTCTAATACCTCTATTCATGCTACATGTTTTAGAAATCCAACCATTGTTTTTAATTCTGAATATTGGTTTATTATATAGAATTCGTCCATTGAAGAAAATTATCACCGAAGTTAAATTTTTTTAAAACTTGAAAAAGAAAATTCCACTCAACCGAATCAAAAGCTTTTTCAAAATCTAAAAATAATAATATTCCATCTTTTTCATTTTCCATGCAGTATTCATAAATGTCTAAAATCAATCTTGCATTTATACCTATGTAACGACCTTTGATATATGCTGATTGTTCATTGCTAATTAATTTATCTATGACGCATTGTAATTTTTTTGCGAGAACAAAAGCTATAATCTTGTAATCGGTATTAGTTAAACTCAATGGTCTGTAGTTTTTAAGGTTATTCTTGTCTCCCTTTTTAAATAAAAGAGTGATAAGTGCCAATCGCTGAGAATATGGTAATTCGTCTTTTTCAAATACAGTTGATAACACATCGTAAAAGAGAGGTCCAATTTTGTTCCAAAAACATTTATAAAATTCCCCTGGTAATCCATCTAATCCGGGAGATTTGTTACTTTTTAAATTGTATACCACATCTGAGCATTCATCAAATGTTGGAAATGTGTCACAAAACTTTCTATCGCGATCACTAAGTTTTGGACATTCAATGTCTTGTAGATATGAAGAAATATTGTTTCCATCGACAGATTTCCTTGTATACAAGTTTTCGTAAAAAAGACACATTTCTTGTAAAATTTCACTATTACTTGCAAAAGTTTTATTATTCTTTTTTAATTCAGTTATTGTATTATTCGTTTGATGTTTCTTTTCTAGACCTAGAAAGAAACTGGTATTTCGCTCTCCCTCACTTATCCATTGTGCTTTTGATCTTATTTGAGCTCCTTTAGCAATTTTATCATACATTGCATCTAGTTCTTTTTCTAGTTTTCGCTTTTCATTCATATTAATTTCTAGACTAGGCAAAGATTCAATTTTATCGATTTTTTCCTCAAGTAGTTTTATTTTATATTTTATATTATGTTTGGATTGTTTCGCGTATTTAATAGAGTAATCACGTACACTTATTTTAAAAGTTTCCCATTTTAAAATTGGATCTAGCGTTTCATCAATGTTGTTAAATAATTCCTCTATACCTTGTTTGTAATCAGCATTCTCAAGGTGAGATACATTCAATTTCCAGTAACCTGCACCTCTATCTAGTTTATTCAGATTTAAAGTACATTTAAGATATCTGTGGTCACTTAATCGAGTGTTATTATTATGAGTACCAGGAATTCGTCTGACAATGATATTTTTTACATTTTTTATAAAGTCTTTATTTACAAAAATATAATCAATCCTACTCTTTGGACAATTTTCTGCATCACACCAGGTGTAACCGTTATTATTAGGATTCTTATTAAGCCATACGTCGACTAAGTCAAATTTATTTACCAGTTTACTTAATTTTTTATTGGATTTATCATTTTCTTTATCAAAATTGCAATTGAAATCACCTCCTACTATGATTGTACTATCTTGCGCAGAGAACGAAGAAATATATGTGTTTAGAGTTGATAGGAATGCTAATCTATCTGACTCTTTGTTAGGTGCGTAAACGTTAATAATTGTAAATAAGTCACCGTCTATTTTTGCATTAACAAGAATTTTCCTACCGTCATTAGACTTATGAACATTTAAAATATTTACATTACATTCTCTTTTAAAAAGAATAGAAACACCTCTACTATAGGGAGAGTCTGAAAAAGCATGAATTATTTTCCCATTCCAATTTCTATCATAGTTTTCTGCATGTTTTTCCACAAAATGAGTTTCTTGTAAAAGTATTATATCTATTTTACATTCTTCTAACCATGTAAAGATTTTTGCCCTTTTTTCCGGCGAATTAAGACCTCTTACATTCACCGAAAGTAAACTTAAATTTTCCATTTGTCTGGTGGATATAAATGTATAATTCTATGAAAAAGAAACGGGGGGGGGGGGGGGGGGCTAATTTACGTCTTATCACTAAAAAAGTAAAAATAGAACATACCAATTCAATATAGCATTTTTAAAGTATGCCAAAAATGTCTGTAAATAACTATAACTAAGCACATACCACAGTTCATGCAATGCTGCGCCAGTCTGATCGGAGATAATACAGTTACTTACACGTATCATCACCGGAACTCTCCGTGTCAGGTTCATCACTATCGGACATTTCTCTCAGCTGATTAAGCATTTGCGGTATTGTTTTTTGTTTCGGA